GTGTACTTCTGATCATGCGGCGGGTAACTAGATTATACTCAGGGAAAAAATTTATCCCCAAGGTTAATAAGATGGGCACTCAAGCTGCAAGAATATAATCTGGTAATCAAGCACACACCCCCGGAAAGGAAAATATCGTAGCAGATGCCCTATCAAGAATTAAAGATAGATGAAGAAAGGGTAATACCGTAAAGGTGGCAATGCTCACAGCCCATGTACAATAAATTCCCTGAGAAACTGTAATAACCGAAATGGGTAAGGATCCTGAGTTTGGAAAAGATTTATATTATTATTTGAAAGGATCCTGAAAATTTTAGCCACCAAGATATTGTGGCGATAAGAAAATAGGGCGGCCCATTACGAACTAATAGATGGTCTATTATTCTTATACAAAACTACGAATTCCAACAACGAATTTCGACCTGTTATTCCCAGCTAGTTAAATTAAATTAGCTTAGATTAAATATCCTGCAGGAGCTTGACCGATGACAGCCCTTTAGCTTCTCATGCTGGTATTCGAAAAACCATCCAACGCGTACGCGAGGCAGTCTACTTTCCTGAACTGCAAAAGTTAAACAAGGGCGTATGTCCAGTCCTGCCCAACATGTCAAGCAGTTAATTATATTAATTTCCCCGCCCGGCCGGGTTTCTAAATAGTATTAAATCCGAATTTCCAAATGAAATAATTGGCATCGATTTATTGGGCTCTTTCTCCAAAAAGTCAGTTAAATAAAAGTCGCTATCCTCCTTGTTATGGTTGATCCATTTTAGTAAATGGACGGAAATTGTTCCCTTAAAACGAGCCTCCGCGAAATTAGTTACTGATTCTATTTTAAATAAATATATTTTAAAATACGGGGCGCCCCTAAAAGTTATATCGGATAATGGTCCTCAATTTGTAAGTAATATATTTTGAAGACATGTGCCTCAAAAACTGGGCATACGTCATTTAAAAATGGTCCGCGTATCGGCCGCAATCAAATATAGCGGAACGGGTCAATAGAAATATAGTGAAAATTATCCGTAGTTATGTTTTAAAATTTTCATAAAAGCTGGGATAACTATGTCAATGAATTTGCTTTCGCCCTTAGGACCGCAAAACATGATACAACGGGCAAAACTCCTGCTGAGTTATTTCTAGGCAGAAAGATTATAACGCCGTTAGATAAATTATTTTATGTGCAACAAAGAGCCCCAGAATTTAAAATGGGTGATATAGAAAAACTAATTAAGGAAGCAAAGAAGAATACTGAAGTAGCACAGAGAAAACAAAAATTATATTACGACTTGAAACGACGGGGAGTAACTTATAAAGTAGGGGATGAAGTTTTAAAAATTAAGCATTCACTTTCTTCAGCACCAGAAGATAAGACTGCCAAATTTTTTCCACGATTTGAAGGACCATATGTTATAGAAAAAATACCTCACGCTGTAGTAGTGTTAAAAGCCATAAATGGTGAAACCTGCTCCGCAAACTTTGATCAAATCAAACCCTACTTCGATCGTGATAAAATGCAAATATTTTCAGATCTTTTGCAGGATCCGGCACGGCAGACACCGCAGGCACAAGCTCCAGAGGTGGAAAAACGACAAGTACAAGGGCAAGCCATTAAGAGGCAGGAGCAAATGAAAAGAAAATTTCCCCGCGGAAAAATTGAAGGTAGCAAGAAAAAGAAGCCGTTCCACCGTCCAGAAAAGAGAGTTCACGAACACCCCCAGAATGAAGAAGGGAGAAGGACGACGGATGTGAAGAGAACCAGGAGAAATGACGGCAACTATAACCCGGCTCTAAAACGGAAGATCTACTCATCCGACAGGACTCTCCGCAGCAAATGTCGCCGAACTGCGGAAGGGCCATCAGCGGCGGAGGAAAAGTTACAAGGAAAATTTGAACGGCCAGCAACGAGGTCCAAGCAGGAACACGAACAGAAGTTTCCCGGTTCCGCCAAGACCAGCTGCCATCAAACGGCCAAGACCACAAGCAGAGGAGAAAAGAAGGTATTCAAGGGTGACCGAACTGTGAAAAAAGGAAGCTTCCAGAGGAAGGCACTGAAGGCGAGCCCGTACAGAAGGAGGATAAATAAACAAACAACTATCTGCAATACCTTTAAGGACTGGGGGCCCAGAAAAGGATGTCCGAATATCACAAGATAAGTAAAATTTTATGTTACTTTGGAAAACTTAAGTTAATCTTTCATTCTTACTGCAAGCGGCAGATTTCAAGAAGTTTTTACCTCATGCGAGGTCTACCTTTATCGCCAAAAGGGCGAGAAATGAGTTTGTTACCGATTTTGGTATTATGTTTTTCAATTACTCGCGCGTAAAACTAAAGTTGATGTATAATAGCGTTGTTGTAAAGACTTAAATATTGTAAAAAGTTATTGTATAAATTTTATTTAAAACATTCTAACAAGAAAGAAGTTTTAGTCTGAAAGACTTTTTGAAATGTAGTATTTCAATGTAGAAAGAATTGGCACTTGTTTGAAAAGAATAGAAGTTAACAATGTACTACTAATGTATGTTTTCAAATGTGTAAAATTAACGGCATGTTGATATGTTCTTATATACAATGTGAACTGTTATTTTAAATGTTAAGAAATACCGTGATATGGTAAAAGTGAAAGTAATGTTAAATTTTTTTATTCGTGTGTGACTGTAAAAAGACTAAATCATGGTGAATATGTGTTAAAGGTTGACTGAATGATGTAGTTAGGCTCTCTGACGCTACACTTCAGAGTTAGCCACTTTCAGAATAGTACCTCAGGGTTTAGAGTTGAAATTAGGGTGTGTTAAGAGGTCTTGTTATGTTGAATTTTAACACGTTAGTGTTTTGATTGTAGGAGGAAGTGTGGAACACGTAGACAGAAAACACACATTCGTGTTGGTGTTCTTTTACAACACATGTCAGAGAGCACGGGGAGAGATAATTAAAATAGTCATGAATGAAATAAGAATGTAAAGAGAAATATAATTATACATGTTACTTGCCATTTCATTGTGTAACATTTCATTAACTAGTTTTTCCTTCCAGATCTCTGGAAGGAACCAGATTTGAATAAGAGCTCCTGTTTAGATGCAGTACAGATGAAAAAAAAAATTGTGTATCCTGGGAGCTGCTATTGTAAAAACAAATTTCTTTCTTTTAATTTCTAGTTTCTAGCGAAAAAATGTTTGTAAAAGATTGGCCTCGCGTTAGATTCTAGAGCTAAAAGTTTTCAACAAGGTCGTTTTTAGACCTCAGTTTCAAACTAATTAACTCTGGCGGGAAGTGTGTAAGGATCTTAAGTTTTACTAACTTTATTTTATTTTAAATCTTTACTATCACTTCTTATTTTCTACTTCCGGCCAGAATTATAAGCGTTAAAGTTTTTATGCAAAGTTTGTCTGGCGAACGCCAAGTATTTAAGTTGTGGCTTTTTGCCAAGCGAGAGAGAGGAAGCAGTGAGTCGAAGCAGGCCGCTTACCTTAGAAGTTACGCAGTTACTTGTTGCCTTCCAGGCCAGAGGTTTTAATCCTCTTGATAAATTGTAAACGTATTGTAGTGTTCCCAGTTCTCTGTACTACATACGCTTCCTGTTATTATAAGGCCAATCTTCCACGTGTATTATTTTAAAGTTAAATTAGAGTTTAGATCTATTTTTTATATTTTTACGTTAGACCCCAAGTAGCGGGTCTGTGTATTCCGAAGTATGGAAGTTATTGTAAATAGAGAAAATAAAGGGTTTTGTATACCCTTCTTGTGTATCCTGTCTACTTCCCACAGTTTTGAACATAGCTTTAGTAAGCTCTCTGTTCCGAGTCAGGTCCTTGCATGTTCCCGAAGAAGGTAAGAAGGAACATTGATCCTGATAACTTCAGTAACGATACATTTTTAGAACACATTTGCACACATTTTATCAAATCCTCTCCTCTTCAGCAGAAAAATACCCTCAAAATGAGAATGTTGACACATTTTTATTCCATATGCGATGAATTTTTATGTCTTCTTTGCTTGATCTAAATATGATGTATCGAATCCTTTTCATTCGGGACAATTTTCCCCCAAATCTTTTCATTTCTAGACTCATCTCTTCATTACTCGACTTTCTAATGTCTGAATACTCTAACAAACTGCTACTATAATATTTACCTACCAGTAACTTCTTAAAATAATTTATGTTCATTTTTTGAAAATATCGAGCTGGAGATTTCTAAGAAATTTTGTTGATCTCCGGCATTTAATCACAGATGCCTCCCCGGTTTTCAGATTCCTTAACGAATGAAGTCTAATTTTGACATCAGTGTGATTTAACGTTCGTAATTACCCTTCTCTTGGTTTAGAAATTGTCAGTTGCCTTCGTTCTCTCAAAAGTAAACTGCAGTGGAAGGTGGTGAGTATTTCACATCCTAATATGTGAACTCTATATCTTTCACAGTGTACAGCCATGGATGCATCTCAACGCTTTTATTCTGCTTCTGAGTAGGCAGTTTTGATGACTCTGGTATTTGATGAACTTCAGAAATCCCTGTTCTGAAAAATTAGAACAGAAAAAGTGACAGATTTTCATCTTTTAATTAAAAACATTTTAACTTTATCCATTTTACTGTTAGGATCGTTTGTACAAAACGGGAGAGGAATTCAGAAGTACAGACAAAAGAACTATGTGAAAATAGTTATTCAGAAGGAAAAAGGTAATATTCTAATATTTTTTCCTTATTTAATGCACAAATAAAGTAACAACACTTTAAAACTTACTTTGGACAGCATTAAGGACTTCTATTTTAATCCAACGGAGAGTATTCAAAGCATTCATACTGGTACTTTTTATTAATTTGCATTATAAATTTATCCTTTAAAATTATACCTTATATTCAATATATTTGAAGTCATTTTTGTAAACATATAATGCAATGTGATACTTTACAATAACAATTTAATATTTTAATTTGGGTAACCATTGTAATAAAACGAAAGCATGCTATAAATAATTAGAGCTCTCATTATTATTTTATACATACAGGTAATACATACCCGCCTGCTATTCCCGAAACAACTGATCCAAGCATTTGCTATGGATGCACCTTCTGCTTTAAACAAGATTTGCAAGACTGTACTCGCTACATCATGTGTTCTAACGGAGAAGCTTTCAAAGGACAGTGCAGTGAAGGATTGTTCTTCAATTCCAATTCCCAGATGTGTGACCATGACGTGAATGTCAAGTGTCCCGAGCCAGTTTCTTTCCCAGAATGTCCGGCAGAGAATGGCTATTTTCCATATCCAGGAGAATGTGGGTTGTATCTACATTGTATAAAAGGAAATAGATACGTGAAGCAATGTACTGGTATTTTGCATTTTGATCCGAAAAAGAAGCAGTGTGATTGGCCATGGTCAGCCGGATGTCGTAAGTATTATGTAACAATGCGATTTTCAAGAAACTCATTCCTGAACTTCAATTTGATTTTAAACGGTTTGCCACTTTTAAAGACATTATTTTAAACAAGAGCAACACAGTCAATATAAATGAAATATTCTAAAGCATTTTTAATCATTTCTTTTATGGGAACCAACATTTGAGAAATTAACTTCGCTTAGTCACATAAAACGCAAAATTTGGAGGGTGGGAAAGCATAATAAAATTTTGGCATTCCAGTTTATATTTAAGGACGTTAATTTATTCCTGTTTCCTCGGAAAGTATAAAATGTATTTGAATACTTTTAGGAATGCATCAGATTATCGACATTAATACTCATTGTTTCAAATCTACAAGCACTTTTAATTAAATTTGCATAGATTTGTTCCCCTTGACGTTTTCTTGTGTATTATTATGTCTTCAAAAGTAAATCGCAATTAAAAAATTTAATTAACTGTAAAGTCCATTTGATTCTCTGCTAAAACAAATGTCTTCTAGAAAGGGATCGAAATTACGAGTACAAAAGGAAAAACAATGTTTATATAAAACGCAAGTTCCAGCTCCCTTTTTTATTAAAAATTTTTCTAATTAATTAAGGGAACTAATTCAGAAGTCAAACAACAAAAATCAACGTTATATTTACAAATTTTTTGTTGTTTGACTTCTGAATCAGTATTTATTCGGCGTGTTATCGTGTCTTAATCAAAGAAAGCTTAAAATAAAATTCATATCAAATTTATAGTTTATTTAATTTATCAATCAACTTTGTATTTCACTATATTTTCTTAAATATGTAACAGTATTTTTTAAAGCTTTTATTATTTTAAATATATAAAAATATTTACCTTTATTTTTCTGAAATCAATTGTTTCACAAAACTAAATTACTTTGAATTGTGATCGAAACATAATAATATATGTATGTTTTTAAGTTATTACGTTTCATTCAGTAATGAAAACGTTTACAAAATATAATTATTCCAATAATAGGAAACATCATTTTTAAAATGCTCGCATAACTTTCCCCTTTCTCAATGCGTTCAGAAAACGAGGTCCCATAAATTTTAAGAAGGAGTCGTTCACAAAATGATTGTTTTTCGTCATACGAACAAAGACAAACCTTTGCAAACTACCTGCGAAGCTCATGCCGAAACGTTTCGTTCTAACTATTGAACTTAATGCAGCCTAATACCAGAACCGTGCAATCACAGCAAAGCAAAGACGAACTGACTTTCAATCTACGATTTTTCCGAGTAGGGGTAGCAGAGACATCAGTTAGAACGGAGAAGATTCAAAATGTGAAAGTGAAGGGACATTTCATGGAAAATGAAAATATCTTATCAGGCATTATTATGTTAATATTGCTATGTGTTCTTAATGGAATGTAGATTTCTTTTAAAGAAATAATACTGTGATAGTTACTTATAGTTACTTATATTAACGACTACTTTTCATTTGTTATATTTTTATTGTAACCGCAGCCTTCTGAAATTAAATTCTTCACTTAATTTTCCCTTCTTTATTTTTGGACGATAAAATTGTTGAAGGAACGCGCAGTTCATTTGTTTTTCATCTTGACATAGTTAACTGATAAGCAAATACTAAAGCAGAATCAAAGTTTCTTACCTGGTTAAGAGATAATCCAAACTACAAACACCAGAAACACAATTAGAATATAGAAATATATTTATTATTAGCTGCAAGAATAATATATATACATGTATATTGCGGTGATATAAACATTATCAGCTCTCCATCAGTAGAGAGTAATAAATTATATAAGTGAGAGTTTTCTCAATGATCAGGTCTATGTTTCAGTTAAGGTGTGAGGTAAGGTCGGATCGACAGCTAACTGGCTTTCCTTCAAATGGCGATTCTATAAAAATTAGTGTAAAAAGTGGGGATAGGCGAGAAAATACAGTAAATTAAAAATATCTCTTACGTACTTCAAAAGCGAATAAAATAAACATTTAAAAATTAAAAAATGGGAAAACGAAAGGCGGTAATGAAAAATATTCACTTTCTTTTCGAAAATATTAAAATTTATTCAAAGTACGAACATTTCATATTTTAATACTTGCATTTTAAGAAGCTACCTTTCTTCTCAGGTGACGAATCGCAAATTTCTACCCCCGAACCTGTTTCCAACACAACAACATGTGACTGCAACTGTTGTCTACAACCCGTCGGCAATGATTGTAGAGGATTTATACTTTGCATCGAGCACATAGGTTTCAAGGGCTCTTGTTCCTCTGGACTGCTTTTCAATCCCAAGACAGAGAACTGCGACTTTCCAGAGAATGTACAATGTGAGGTCAGTCCAGATCCATCTGGATACCAGTGTCCGGAATATGAAGGTCTCTTTCCTCATACGGACGATTGCAAGAAATTTATTCACTGTGCACATGGATTTCCATATATCAAAGACTGTCCAGTGAATTTACACTTCAATCCTACTTTAAAAGTTTGCGATTGGCCATATTCAGCCGGCTGTGAAGGTAAACGCATGTTTATTTTCATTTTGCTAAAGTTTATTCTCCGGGCAGTTGTATAATGTGTTCCATAACAATGAGTTGTATGCTTTTGGTAAAACAAAATTGCAAATATAACAGAAATTTTATAGGTAGAAGCAAACGTGCGCGCCTGATGTTTAGATAGAAATTGGTGAAAATGCAATGAAAATTTTTGATTCCATTTCAATATTATATGAAAACACAGATACATTCCTACTGGAATGATTCGGAATTCCATGTTTTTGTTTTATAACAAAAAAATTAAAAACACCTTTCTTTATAGAGCATAACAACACCTTTTACATATTCGAGTGCAATGTATGATATAGCAAATTTTCTTTAATATACATTTACTGACAAACTTCGAACAGATGTTATTTATTCAAAATTAAATACTCCTTAACACAATATTTCTATTTAGGCGTTAAAGAATCACAACATAAAGACTAATAATGACTATCGAAAAATTGTATTATCTCGGTATATTTATATACTACAATGCAATAAATATGCTTATCCGGAATCGATGTGGAAAAAATTATAATCTTCCCATTATTCCAAGCTTTCTCTACGATTTTCGAAAATAAGTTCAAATTATAAATTTCAAGTAAAACACACTTGACCCCCTATGCCATTTGTGGACTTTTGGGTCCGGTTCCTGCATCACAGTAATAGGTATTGTAATTGAGTAAACGTAATTGATCACTGCATTAGCTGTAACCATAATTCGACATATATATTGCCTTTCAGTAATTTCGGGAAGCAGAAAGTACTAGAAATATCTCGGCGGCCGGGTGAGAACTATATAAGGCCGGATAGAGCATCTGTTCTCACTTGCTGCGGTTAGCTCTAGCTCGGCGTGAGTTCGGAGTACTGAGATATCTCCGGGTAGCTCTTTAGCTGCAATTTGCATTGCGTTGTGTTTAACGTTCATGTAATTCCTGTTTGTTCTCTGCAATATTGTGAAGAATTGTACCACTATCTTTGTGGAAAGTTTCAGATCTCTGAAGTGTTTCATCTGATAAAATAAATCTTATCAATTTATCATCGAAGCTGTGTGCATTCAATATATTACGAACCCGTACGGGCGCAACAATATATATAAAAATTAGATTAAATAATTAATTAAAGAAGATGAAAGAAGTATCAAACAATAAATTAAATTATATGAATTGATCGCATTCTAAAAATCTAGGAATGAAAAAATACATTACAGTCCTTCTGTTCCACAAAAATAGTTGCATCTTATGATTTAATTTGTCCCATAATAACAGTAGCAAAAGAAAATAAATATTGAATGCAACATTTATTATCAAAAAACTAAAACTAAACTAAAATTAAAATTAAACAATAAATTAAAAATATTACTAAATTTTATTTTATGAATTCAGATGCTTTCTGGAATTTTCAAAAATTTAGTTACTTCATATTAAATTTGCAGGAATGATCCCTCGGTATAAAGGGAAGCTCTTCTTTCCCTTATATTGCATTCCATCGCTTAAATTTAATGGAGCTATCGTTCTTCATTGCTTCCGAGAAAAATGTAACATCGAGTATTTCGGGAGAAATAATTTCAAGGCTATGCTTATTGCTTTTATGGTACGTCTTCTGCTAACTGAAATATGTCATGTTTTTCATGTTTTTCTCCATAATCTTTGCATTTACGTGCACAATTTTGTTTTTTCAAACAATCAGTATTATCATAAGATTTACTTTGACAATTATTTTCGGAAACTGTTTCCAGATTCTTGATATGGTCATTCTGTTTCACTTAAATTGTTTTACAGCTAATGTAATTGCAGCTTTTTACAACTTTTCATTTTTCTTTTGATGCATCAAGGACTGGACAATCGCAACTCTATCTTTGTTTGAAAATCCTCTTTTTTCTCTTCAAAACTCTTGCTTTTATAATGGATTAATATTCAACTGAAATAAAATAGCTGATTTTGATCAATGAATCAAATTAGAAAAATAGTTATTCGTAATAACTAAGTTAACCTAAAAAATGAAAATGTGCCGAAACAAATGCCATATATCGTGAAACATTAATTTTGATTGAAGGCTTCTCAATTTTGCGCTACAATATAACTTACAACTGCATTATCCCATAATTCCCATTTAAATATTCACTTGCTGATATTGTTATGGAACACAAGGAGTTTTATATACAACTAGCTACGAATGTTAACTGTATTGAAATACAAATGTTTGGCATGAAAATGCGTATGCTCGCACCTTTTTCTAGTTCCCATCTACTACAAATGCGCAAAGGCGTCCGCAAATGCGCAGTGGCTAAAGTTTTAAAACACTGTATTTTTAATGCTTTAAAGCATGTACAGCGGAGCAGGTAACGAAATTAAATATAAAAGTTCTAAATTATTTGGAATATTTACATTAATAGGCAACAACTGCTTGTTCCTTTCCAATTCAGTTGCAAATATATTCCCTTTTCAAAAGTCTTTATGCACTCCTTTCAACACAGAAACAAATATTAAACAAAATAAATATATAGTAATTAAAAATTCCTCTCTTCATTCTGCAGTAACCCACCAGTAGTCAAGCAGTAAAGTCTCTAAACGCTGATAGTTCGACCCGACTCAAATGGGCTGGCTGCATAAGCGTTTTCGTGGTCTTCCACATGTGTAAAGTGGGTACTAGCTATTTCCCCTCAAAAAGCCTTCTCAAAGGCATCATCCTTTTAGGCAGATAGCAGTTGCGTGCTTTGCTCTAATGAAATAAATCAAACCATTTATCTATATTAATGTACAGCGAAATGTGAAGGCCAACCTGTAAATCCCTACACTACACTTGTAAGCATTTATAACTTAATGTAGTGTCACATGATTATTTTTTTATATATCTCGTATGTGCTTGTTGTATTGTCGTAATAGTTTATCCGCCAGTTCCTTTGTGACATTCTTCTTAAGTTTTGGCCAAGCCATTATCTTTCCATAATAGATGCAAAGTTTTCGTATGAAATAATTTAATTACATTTTATGATTTAAAACACCACGTGTAGTGCTAATGCAGCGCTTCAAGACTTACCAAATGCATTGTGCCTCAACCTTAAAATTCTGATTTTTTTAATTATGCAACTTTTGTAGTAATAAACTGAGTTATTTCAGATTTCGCTTAAATATAAGACCAAAGTTTCTTTCAGTTTTCCAATGTAGTAATACACAATAATGTTTCAGGTTTTCCAACTGTTGAACCACCTCCAGATGATCATAAACTTCCCTGTGATACCTGCAGTTCATGTTTCATACCCAACGAAAACGACTGTGCAGCATACTTGTACTGCAAAAATGGAACAGCATACAAAATGAGATGTTCTGATAATCTTCTGTTTAACCCTCAAACAGAAGTCTGCGATTTGGCAAGCAATGTGGACTGCGCGATTCCTCCTAGCGGACATTGTCCGAAACGAGATGGTCTTTTTCCGTCACCAGATTGCTTTAAGTTCATCCACTGCTCAAACGGCATTCCTTACTTGAAGAATTGTCCAGATGGATTGCAGTTCAACTCGTATTCTCTCGTTTGTGATTGGCCAGAAAATGTAAATTGTGGTAAGGCTTCTCTTTTTTTCTTCTTAATATGAATCACTCATGAGTTCTATATTTTTATCGTACTATAATTTTGAATTTCCCATTCAAACGGGGTAGTGGCCAGCTGAAAATCCTCTCGAGAAGTTGCTGGTACGGGAAGAGAACCGTAATAAACCTCGAACCCATGCCCCGTGGTGCTTTCTTTCAAAATTTCAAAATTGGGGGCGAAATGGAGCTAAAGTCAGGCTGTCACGTAAATGGTACTCAAGGCTCTTGTTCAAGGCACATTTGACTCCTTGCCACAATGAATGCCGTGGGCTGGTGCTGACACTTGTCAAACAAGTGATATTTGTGACACAACAACGACAATTTTGAAGTTAGCCAAAACTCTTCCCTCTCCACGAATCCGCTTAAATTAGTTAAAAGGTTCACTCTTGTTTTTGTAAAAAAAACATTGATCGATAATTATAAAAATTTATTTTTTAAAGTTTAAAGCAATGCTTTGAAATATTCATTGAGTACTAACATTTCTCATAACCTGTAAAGTTAGTTGACCCTTAACAGGCAATTCGGTGGCTTTGATGAACTATCAAAGCTTCAAAGCTAAAAAGAAATTTTTTTCTGTTACTATCTGTCGCAATAGAAATATTTCGCAATTTACTTCTTTTGTAAAAATCATACATCTTTTCAAAAGTAAAAAATAATAATCCCCCTCTTCTGACATTGTGATGTGCAACGCCATAATTTCTACTATAGCGCAAACCATTTTATTTTCATCAAAGCCACCGCAGCTGCGTTTTCCTGTAGTGAAGAAAGATTTTGCGAAAGAGATTTTGGATTGATGAAATCATAAAGCTGGTTTAAGAAACAGCCGAAGAATTAAGTTTGTGGCTTTTTTCCTGATTCTTCGCAGTAGAAAAATGTGTTCTTACCTTAATAGAATATAAATTGCTGTATACTACCTCTCTTTCTCAACGTACTTTAAAAGTTTTTTTTTCCCTTGTCACTGACATTTTGCGTATAATTATGATTACGAAAACCAGACTAATTAGTACTTGAGCAATGGACATTATTTTAAAAATCAGCAAATTATATTCCTTACTTAGTGTCTGGAAGGTTTTCTTTTTCTAAAGATTTAAAAATCATTTGAACACCAATAGGAAAAGTAACATGGATGGTATCTGTTATTTGAGCATATTTTGCAATACATACATTATTTTTTTCAATAAGCTCATCTATTCCTCCAAAAACGAGTATTCCATTTAAGGCTGGAATTGTAAGTTATATTCATTTAATTTTAAATAAATATGCATTTAATTTTTGTTTCAATATTAACTTCTGAACAGTCATCAAATTTCGAGGTTTGCTTTAAATTTATCATTATTTAAATTCCCTTGTAAAATTTTAAGAAGTATATTGAAAAGTAGTAAAGCATTAGGAGAACTTTATAGATTCATGTGCAGTGTAACTCTGATTATGAGCGGCGATGAAAACTGAGTCATTTCTGATTATAAATCCCTTTTCCCTTGCCAATTAATCCATGGTCGAGCTCATTTTCATTAGAAATAGAAATGCTTCATTTTAGGTAATATCAGTTTTGGAAATTATGTCATATTTAAGTACCTTTTCTCTGCAATAATTTTCAACATTTTTTTCAATTATTTTATTTTCAATAAAAAGCACATAATAAATGAAATAATGTGCTTCTGTAACTGAGAAAACAGTTGTTAAATATTTATTTCCATTATAAATATTTTCTTGAAACATTGAGCTTGAATTAGGTCGAAAAATGCATATTGAAAATTAATATTACCAAAGCTTATATGCTTAGCAAAAAAATTACACATCTTATAAAATCCAGTAATTCCTCATAAATAATCCTAACTCCATTTTCTAAAAATGTCTCATGAAATATTGCCAAAATATGTAATAGTCCAATGAAAAATTTCCACATATAATGATAAAAATTTACTTGTCTTGTTATTTATCAGTCTTGTTTAATAATTTCGATGAATCCTTGATAGTACCGATTTCGCTAACTTATTTATTTTATGAAAATTTTTCAGAACAAAGCTAATTTTTGTTGAATGCCCATTAGTGCTCAAAAGTAATAGAATTTTCACATTTGGTAGATTAGATCCAGAACTGAAGCATAGATTTTAATGAAGTTCGGTATAGACATAAGCTGATATTATATGCATATGCATAATCAGATTCGTATGCATTCATATGCTTATTTTGCTTATCTAGTTACAATGCCTAAAAAACGCATTTGCATACCAAGAATTTGGATTAAAATCTGTATCAAATGTCAAACAAGTAACGCGCAAATTAATGTAAGAGTTAACAAAGGGTTGGATTGAAAGATGTATTGGAGATGTTAATTTAAAGGTTTTTGTTCAAATGGATACCCAAAAATGCGAGATGCGAATTTTAATTAGAGATAGAGAAATGTTTTATATGAATTTTGATTATGGAGAGATAGAATTTTGATTATTCATGTAAATGTTTATATGAATGTTAGCAAGAAATTATTTAAAAATATGTGAAACTTTGCTTCTTTTTTGGTCTTTTAAAGCAATATGCAAAAGGAGGAATTACGGTAAATAATTAATTCTGGTGACTAAGGGATACTTCAGTAGGATTAAAAAGATAAGATGACATTCATGAATAATAAGATTGCGAATAATGTGTTGCCTGATGTGCAAATTTCCAGCAAGACACTAAGATGTCGTTCTCCGAAATAGAAAATCTTCAAAATAAAAATAAGACACTTGAGTTTTTCAACATTCATATCAACAGTGCTGGCATTATTAAAATATATATTTTCTGATAATTGCAAGCACAAGGTATTGAATCAAATAGCAAAAGATTTGTTGAGAAGACACTCAACAAAGAGTGTCCTTCTCTCTAAGAATGGGAAAACTTTCGTCAAAATATATAGGACGTCATTTCACCCTTCGGAGTTTCACAAGCTCGCAAAAGAACAGCTAATTTATCTTTTATTAAAGGTAAGGTGACACTTCATGCTTATACTTAGCTGTTACTAGATATTTTAATAAATAATGACCCAAATGAAGGTATCAGCTATTCGTATTAGTTCTGACAAAGCTGTGGATCTGCAGAACAGTATTTCTGAACAGTGCACATTTAAATAGTTGTAAAATTTTTGAAGAAAATTAAACTAACAGCTTTAAATACACAAATTTCAGAATAAAAATTATACAAATGCTTCTAGATCAAAGCATTATTTTAATTATAAATAAGGATATCGTGTAAAAAATTACCGGAAGGAATTCCCCATTACCCATCAACACTGACGAAAGGTAAGCGAGACAGTTTTGATGTACAAATTGCTTTCTATACAATTCCTGCAATTTTTACTTCCTTGTACGAAGTAAAAAGGAAGTATTGTAATCGCAAAAAGTTTCAGGCAGCATATATCAACGAAAATATCCATTTTGACCGCTATCGAATGCAATTTAACGATGTTCTTGCGTGATATCTGTACGTAAGAACAGAATAAAAGACTCATTTCCTCCAAAAAAATTATAAAACTGCTTTAAAATGAATTCTGAAGAGAATTTTTCGTGGCGTCTGTACGAACGTCTGTACGAACGTACGTACGTATCTGGCATAACTCAAAAACGAGTAGCCTCAGAACGTTGAAATTTTGCATATAGGACTGCTATAACATGTAGATGTGCACCTCGTATTTTGGTTGCAATCGGCCGCACCAAACATATATAAATATATTTATATATATATCCACTATGTTACCCGGCTCAGTGATCTCAGTTTCTTTACTCTTATATGTTTGTAAATTGTACAGTTTTTGCTTTAAAAATGATTGAATTATGTTGTTCTTATCTTTCGGTTAAGGTTTTTATGCCTTTAGTAAATCTGTATTAAATATTTTTAGAATTATCAACAATTTTAAAATTGTTTAAGTGCCGCTAAGCCTAATAATCTTTTTGATGGCGGCCATTGCTCTTGTTTACATTTGAAACAGCAGGATAGCGGATTTGTTGCCAATCTAGAGAAACTTAGCTTCGCAACAACAAAGATAACGCCTTCATTTATTATTGCGAATTAAATCATGCTTAATCCTTTCTGGAATTTTTTCGAGGAAATAAGCGTTTAAGATTTACTTCGTAACTTTTAATATAGATATTTTGAGTTTTTATGTATTTTTGCCTTCTCGCGAAGTGAGAACTGAATTAATTGAATGAGAAATACTCAATCGTCTACGAAAAACTGTTTCTTTTTCGTTTTGTTTGCTTAATTTCTTTATACATCATTCTAGCTTTATTATAGTATTTGAATAGAACATGTGGCAACGATTAGATAATTCTTTAAATGATATAAATTTTGTGCATTATGAGTTATAATATGAACGAAATATAATTCTGTTAAGTGAATCTAGCGCCAGAGTGTCGCTATGGTAAACAAATACTAGAGTGAATTTTAAAAAATGTATTTATTCTATTGTACTTTATGCGCTGTCGGCGAAGTAGATTTAATTCAATCCAATAAGTTTAAATGAAATGCAATAAAAATGCGTATAATTTAATATTCCGTACAAGGAAGTCATGTGGTGTACACATCAGATTTTTAATATACATTCTCTTTTTATTTTTTTCACTTCAGTTTCTTTGCTTTCACATTTTGTGGTTTTAAGTGTATACTTTTAAATAACATGAAGTTACAATTTCTCATGTTGTTATCAATTTATTAGGCCATTCTAATAAACCGTCTGTTCATCGGCTTTTACAATACTCTGAAATATACTTTCTGGTCGTATCGTACAACTAAGATAAATTATTATTTTACTCCGGTACTTCTCAAATTCTTCTTCAAATTTATTAACATACATTAAAAAACCAAATGCGTTGTTTATTGCTGTATGGATAGTATTTTAGAAATGATCAAAGTGATATAGATTTTCATCAGTAATATTATTTCTTACTCCTCTTTGTACCCCTAGATGAGCCACCAATAAAGCCTACTAAACCAGACGATGAGAATCCCATCATCTTGAACAGAACTTGCGATTGCGAATGCTGTTTTTACAGAGATGAGATAGATTGTTCGAAATATCTGTTATGCCTCGATGGTTTTCTACACGAAGGAAAATGCTCTGATGGTCTGTTGTTCAATTACCTTAGTCAAAACTGCGATTTAGCAGATAGAGTGGATTGTGGCGACTTAACTCCTATATGTTCATCACCAAACGGATTTTTTCCAAATCCGAAAGATTGCTCCTCTTATTACCGTTGTTCAGGAGGAATTCCACACCTAGAACAATGTCCTAAAGGCAAACATTTTAGTGCTAAGACAAAGCAATGCCTTGATCCTTGTGATGCCGACTGTGATACAAGTTTAGGTAAGAAGAAATAAGTTTCATTAAAATTATATAATAGAATATATTTATTTGATCGTAAAGGTTTAAAATATATTTATGGTAAGAAAGATTTTTAGTTATATTTGCTGTTTAAAACCACTGTTGTTCAGCTATTAACGTATAATGTATGTTGGCAAAATCAGGAATCCAACATTATATGTATTACTGTGTTTTCGGATATTTCAATTCTCAGCTCTTTCTGCTTTTGTACCATGAATTGTATACCCGAGCTACGCTCTTCAAGTTTCAAAATTTGTAAAAGAATATTTCCATTACACGTCGGTAAACAGCAATTGTGAGCGGTGAACAAGCAGTTTCTACATTAAAAATAAAATTCTATCATTTTTAAATAAAGTTAAGTTATTCATGCTTTCAGATATGAATTTTCTAAGAAAATAATAGGTTTTCGAGCTAGCGTTTAGTCTAAAATGTGTGCAATCTGTTAAATAGAATACAGTTTAATAATAATGAATAAAATGATAATGAAAAATAATATTTGTAACCAGGATTCTAAATGGATTATGCCTTACATAAAATTTGATTATTTTTAACATAATACTACCTATTAAAAGGAGCATACAGGCATTTGTTATGTATTTAATCTATAAATTCTAATATTTTTTACGATTTGTTTAGCACAACTGATACAGATATAAAGTAATCTGAAACCTGCTTGGATTTGCAAGTACTGCTTCTAAAAATGCTTAAATTCAAAGAGTCTGATATAGAAAATAAGAAGGTGTTTAAGTAATTAGATTCTAGATTTTTTAAAATTAAAGTTTAATAATGAACTACTAAAATTCTTACTACTTTTAAATAATGTAGCAGTGACAAAACTGCTTTCCAAAAGCTATCATTTCTTCTTTTAATTACCACTTACATAATGCTTTGCTCAATTGATAATTTTAAATTTCTTGTTTTCAGAGTAGCTGTAAAATAACTCTACATTTGAATTGATTTTTAAATAATATAATATTTAACACTTAAGCACAAAATCTTAAAACATAATCCTCCCTTTTCTCATCATTTCAATTATTGTTTTTCATTTCTTTATTTTATAAGGTTTTTATTTGTTTTTGATGGATTTTTAGAATGTTTTTAAATGTTTCATTTGCCTTTTGTTATTGTCCGGCTTATTTTAAAACCTAATGATTGTATCTATTTGGATTTGGCGTAAACATATTGCAGAGAATATTGATTATTGCAGAGCATTTGACATATTACGTAGTAATTATTTTACAAAGGAAAACTTACTCAATTTATTAGTTGAATTATTTATTCACTTCCTGAATGTTACAATTGTAAATTTCGCAAAATACAAAAATGCTTTGCATATTTAAAATAGATCTTCATTCTAATAATACACGTTTGCTATATATATTATTTCTGCAGATTGTACATTTTCGACACCATCCATTGAAACAACAACAGGAATCAACCCACATTGCAAAGCTGCTTACGGCCTCTTTCCAATGCCTGGCAGTTGCACGGCTTTCTTCAGCTGCCTTAATTATACCAGCTACATCTCCCAGTGTCCCGAAGGCTTACACTTCAATGCTGAAGAACTGTTATGTCAAGAACCATGCGATGCAAGATGTGATCTCACAATAGGTAACGACTATTTCTGTTTACAAAAGTATTTTATTTAAGCAAGGACGACAAAATTAATTTGACTTTAAAAATATGAAATGTTGTTGTTGTCTTGTCCATATTACATGGAACAATGGTCGCCAGAACCTACTCCAAAGAGAGGTTGGACTTATTTTACCCCCCAATTTTGTGGAAGAGCCCCCCGGGGGAACTCCCACCCCTGTTTTCTTCCACCAATCCACACAAGAGGACTTTTCGCTAGCCGCCTATTTAGAGTGCCACCATGCCGCGCCGACACTATACATTTACAAACATCCGTGTTTCCTCCGGGATTCGAAACGGGCACTAAAATATGAAATAAAACTTTTGAACAAACAAATCATTAAAAATGACGCAGGTTAAATTAATAAGCAATATGATTAAAAGCTTTCATTACATATAAATAATTTCAAATTCGTGATTAATCAAAGTGAGGAGGCTTGAAGCAGGAGCAGCAGGATTTTTAATGATACCAAGTCTTCTCAATAAGATTTAAAGAAGGTATGGCCAAAACCTTGACCTGGAAGTGTATGCATTCTCTTTTTTAACTTCTATCATATTTTAATTTAATTATTTCATTTGCAAGTTTCATTTTAGGATCAATTATTATTATTATTAACAACTATCATACTAACCCACGTTCATGTTATAATCATTTATACTTTCATTTACTCTTATTTAGGAGCCATATAAATTTTGCGTATTCACGTTTCGTTTATTTTCTGATAAAAATGTGAATAATAACCTATTATTTCTGATTTTAACTTATTTAAATTAACTCTGATCATTAGAGTTTCGTATAAAAACGATGCTATACCCTAGTATTAGAAATTATTTCTTTTTATTTTTATGTATGATTTATTTGTGTTGAAATATCTTTTTTATTATTTATAATGGCAATGTTGAAATATATATAAAATAACGTCTTTAATAGTTTGAAAGCTTTCATTAATTTGAAATAGATCAACATTATTCTGCGGGGATTTATATTTATTTAACTAACAAGTTAAAGTTTAAACTTTCCCATAAACCTTCATTCCCCTAATTGTCAGTGACAGAATATTAAAATTTTGTAGAGCGCGTGGAGAAATGCAATGCAAATTTCTACTTTGAAGAAAGTATTTAAAAGCTGCGTTTCAGTGAGAAAAAAAAAGAGAATTAGGCTACAGTCGCCACCTCCGCCGTAGATCCGTTTGCTTATTGCTGATTCACGTGGCTTACTTGTATTTACTTGCTGCCACTAGTTTCGAAGAGGGCCCTGTAGTCTAGTTCTATCATTTGTTAATATCTTCAAATTTTTGTTTCGTTATTTGATTTTCAGTTACCGCCCAAGCAGAGGCGAAGTTTGTTAGCGTCGAGTTGACGCATTGTAAATTTTAAAGATTTAATAAAGGGTACTTTAACCCTTCGCTTGGTGCAGTTACTACTATTCTGGTTTTTCACACTGAAGTATATCTAATAGACTTTACAATTCTTATAAATTCTAAATGAAAAATACTCCGTTAGCATATGATATTTTAAAATGTAATAAAACAATTAATAATAAAAAGATGCCAGTATAGGTAACGTACTTATGCTAAAAAGCTTCGAATTTGACAGACAGAGAAAAACAGATTTGTCGCAATCAAAATGCTATATGCCCTGAATAGAATTTAAAGTTTTTCAATCTGAATTCCTTTGTTTCACAGATTCTGCTTTATAATTTGACAGAACGAACTCAATCTGAAAGTTTTACTACATTTAGAGGATCGACTCAAATTTGTTTTAGAATCATTTGCTTTAATCATGAATATTTTCATGACATAAAAAGTTTAATCATTCTTTTTCCTGCAACGTTTTACAAATCTCTCATAGAAGAAAAATATCAAAACAATTGGATTGGAAAAAAAATTATTAATTTTAATAACTTCCGAATGTAGGAGTATTCCAGAGTAAAGGCTTTCTGAGAAAGTCAGAAAAGTATAAATTTTAGAAAATTTTCCAGTTATTATTTTCCTGATAGCATTTTTAATATTTTCAATATTTTTACAGCAACTTCTTTTCTTGAGCCAGTATATTACTTGTTCGTAATGATAGAAATTAAAATGTAAATTTCTAATGAGAAATTTATTTCGAAATATGTACGCAATTTATAAACATTATATAAGAATATTAAAATATATACTTAATTTACAGATTATCTGTAGGTTCGAATATTAACTTGCTTTAGATAATTGAAAATTTTAAACAATGCATTGAAGAAATTTCGGTAATGTAGAATGCATTTGTGATTTCAAATTTTTAGTTTTCTTCATGGTTTGTAACTGACTGCAGACTAAATTGAATGAAAAGCTGCAGCTATAAAACTGTCCATCAAGCTACTGGTTATTACCTCATTTTATTTGCTCCCAGAAAATTTTAATCTTATTTCATTGCATTAATTTCTTCATAACTTTAATCTTCTAAGTGTAGATTAAAGGTAAAATGTTTACCTTTGAAAACGCTTTTCATTTTTCATAATTTATAAACAAATTCAAAAGTACTGCATTTTTACTTAAATTTAGACAGGTTTTCCTGTAATAATATTGCCTTTTACTGCAGTAAATTAATGCCTTATAACGTATATATAAGGCAAAATATGAATACATTTTTCCTGTGTTATCATACACTAAAAATGTGATTTAAAAGTTTTAGTATATTTCAAGGAGATAGAAATTTGTAATAATTACTAGTAAGCATTTAATAAATAGGACAGTAATTTTACAGTAAGACAATGTATGTAGCTCTGTAAATGCTCTCAAAACCTAGAATATTAAGAAAATGAGGGTGAAATCATTCACTTAATTCTCTTGTATTATCATAAAATGTTCGTCTCTATAGTTCAGAAATATATATTGCTAAATCAATTTAGATTTGAAAATCGAAATAAATCCTTCAGTAAAAGCAAAGTGATTGGTAGGGAAATATGTATTTCTAAAGTTATGTTATCCTTTTAGACTGTAAATCAACGCCTAGTACAGAAACGAGTATTTTGCCGTCTTCAACGCCATCTATCTGTATTGATGAATATGGTATGTATCCAGTAGATGGTGACTGTACATCTTTCTATCAATGCTCTAACGGACGACCTTATATTGTGAAGTGCCCGAAAGGTCTGCATTTCAGTGTTGAACAGGAAACTTGCGAACATCCTTGTGATGCTCAGTGTGATAGAAGTATCGGTAAGATAAACATGCTTTTTATGAACAGGCTTTTCTCTTGAGAATACTTTTATCCGAAATTTTTAATTTCTAGTTAATATATGTATATAATAACAATCACAACAATAATGCAAATCAAAACTTAAACATTAATTTTCAAAAGCACCTTAACTCGCTACTAAAACGGGTTATTTCGCCTAAAATAGTAATTGTATAGTAAAATAGTTGAAAATGTAGCGTATCTTTTAATATTAATTTTAAATCATAATAATTGACTAAGAAATGGTATACGATTATCATAACATAAAACTGAAAACCATTCAAAAAGGAGGTCTGCTAAATATATTTTCAGTGAGGTAAAATTTTAAGTCCATATATCGAGATTCTAGATTCTGTTTCAGATATCCTTGAGAATCTCATAAGTTAAAAAACTGTATATAAAAATATCTGTTAATAAGGGAAAAATTAGGCAAAAAATATTTTCGAAGTGCAGAGAGAAAATACTGAAAACTTTTATTTTTATTTAATTGTTTAATTATGCATAAAAGTGATACATTTGTTTTACGATCGTTACTTGTTTAACAATTGTAACATAACAGTTTTTCAATGCACTCAAGTCGTAAATTGATTTAATTCTTCTGTTTGAATATAAAAACCTCAAAAATGAATGAACCCTCTCTTTTTTTTTTTTTTTTTTTTTTTTTTTTTTTTTTGCTGCAATAGATTTCAGGCTAACTATTGCATTTTTTATTATCAAATTACATATTTATGAGGTATTTCTCCCTCCTTCCCACAATATTTTGTGGTCTAACTGGAAGCCCCCTCTATATGCGTATTCAAGAGGTCTATATGCGTATTCTATAATATAACAATAGGTATTATGGTCTATATGCGTATTCTTCTATATGCGTATTCAAAAGGTCCGGAGTTCGAAGCCCAGCAAGAGTATTGCTCCTTTCTCACATCTCCAACATAAAAAAAATCAATGATTCTACAAGCGGCGAACTACGAGTTCCGAACTAAAAGGTGCTGGTCGACAATTCATCACCACAAGGATTTGGCGACTAGGTCCTTTAATCTGCAATCGCCGTTTAAAAAGGTGGAGTATATGAGATATTTTCTACCTTCTTTTCCGAGTGCGTTCGTGGTGTAACAGGAAGAACATTCGACGCGCATTCGAGAGTCCAAGTGTCTAGTCCCGGCGAGAACACTGCACATTTTTCGTGTTTCCTTTTCCAAAATAAACTAATCACTCTCTTTTTCTCATGCACTAACACATATAACGAAAGCAAAACTTCATGTTCTTGATACTACACTGTAGTAACGTAAAAACTGTAACTCTAGTTGTTATGCGGTTTCAAAAGTAGTACATCTGTGAAATTTCGTTTCCCCTTTCAACTGCATTTCCTTCGTACTACTATCTGATAGCGAGTAGATTAAGTCATATTAGTTTCCATCTTGTAATTACATTCCTGCTTTTTTAGAAGTAATTAATGATCAGATTTGATGTTTCATTCCCCGAAACTCAATTAGGACTTAATACATGAAAACGTTAGACACAGATGTCGTAACTTGAGGTACCATTTTCAAATCATTAGCAGTAATTTTGACATTTCATTTTAAGTAATTAAACCGTTTTCACATCAAGAGGATGCACTTAGTAGTACAATTTGCTGAGTAAACCAACTTCTCCGTATAGCAAAACATAATATGTGAGATATGTGGAAATAATTTTATTTACTTTTATCACTTTCGTTAAGATTTATTTCGCAAATTAGGTATCGCAAACTATTCAGTTGGTCCGAGATAAATCAAATCCAAAACAAGTGAAGTATCCCATGTCCGGTTCTTGAGCCCTCCGATGTAAGAAAGAAATTTTCTTCAGATTCGAGATCTTCTTATAAATTCCGATTTCTTGCAATGGAATTCGCCAGCACACTCTCTATGCGCAGTTTACCATCATTTCTTAAAAAGGAGCTTTTATTTAGTGCCTTGAAGAACTGAATTTCAACTCATAATAACATATTGAATATCCATGTAATGTAATATGTGACTGAGAAGCCGTAATGAAATAATAATAATGTACAATTAATACGGTTTTACCTTTACTAGGCATTTTATTATTTTCTTTTAAATGATAATATTAGTATCATTCGAAAACACTTATTTAACATTCCATTTATTTAACAGACTGCACATCTCCAACCATTCAGATCTCAACCTCCTCCATTAGTTTTACATCTTCGACAACTATATCTCCAAACTGCCTTGAGCCGGATGGCCTATTCCCAGTTGCAGGTGATTGTACATCTTTCTACCAGTGCGCTAACGGTCAGTCCCATCTGGTGCGATGCCCTAGTGGGCTGCATTTCAGCCATCAATATGAAGCGTGTGAGCATCCATGTGAAGCAAAGTGTGATGAAACAATAGGTATAAACAACTTGCAAATTTATTTTGTACACTTATTGCTTTTTATAAAAAAATATTAATATTTTTATAATAAATTAAAAGTAGCATATTTTAAATGCTATTTTTGTTTTTAGACTGCACTTCTCCAACAGCAAGTAGCACATCTTCCACTAAACATTCTACTGTTTCTACAACCATATCTCCCCACTGTCCACAATCTGATGGGCTATTTCCCGTAGAAGAAGACTGCACATCTTTCTACCAGTGCTCCAGTGGGCGGGCTCATCTACTACGATGTCCAAGCGGGTTACACTTCAGTCCCGAATTTCAGATTTGCGACCATCCATGTGAAGCAAAATGTGATAAAACAATAGGTAACGAATATTGTGAAGTTCATGAGGATATATTTACTGTGTATTATTGAAAAATAATAACTTTTAAGAAATAGCATTTTTGAGCTTTTAATTCAATTTTTTAGATTGTTCCTCTCCAACGACTGAAAGTATATCTTCTTCTACGACTTTTATAATTTCTACAACAATATCCCCAAACTGCCTACAGCCTGATGGTCTATTTCCGGTAGAAAACGACTGCACATCTTTCTATCAATGCTCCAATGGGCGAGCTCATAAAGTACAATGTCCAAGAGGATTACACTTCAGTCCTGAATATCAAATTTGCGAACATCCATGCGAAGCCAAATGTGATAACACAATAGGTAAAAATACTCTAAACTCGTTCTATCATTTATAACTTATTATTATGAAATAATATCGGGTAGCCATAAATAAACCTAATCGAACATGAGAAACTTAACTTGCTGCAGGTTCTGTTTACCTTGGGTCACCCGATATAATTTAGATTTGATTTCTATTTAGATTTCTTTAAAAGCATGCATTTTTATTTTTAGACTGCTCATCTCCAACTACTGAAAGTATATCTTCCTCTACAAGCTCTACAGTTTCTACAACCATATCTCCAAACTGTTTGCAACCCGATGGACTATTTCCTGTAGAAGAAGACTGTACTTCGTTTTATCAATGTTCCAACGGGCGGGCTCATCTGGTGCGATGTCCAAGTGGACTACACTTTAGTTCTGAATATAAAGTCTGTGAACATCCATGCGAAGCTAAATGTGATGAAAGAATTGGTAAAGAATAACAGGATATTTGGATAACATTAGTAACTTAACTGTAGAAAAAATTTTTAATTTAAATTTTAACTAATGACGGATGTTTTTCTTTTTGTAGACTGCACTTCACCAACAACTTCCAACTCTATAGCTTCTACTATATCTACAACAATGTCTCCAAATTGCCTGCAACCAAATGGACTTTTCCCGGTGCCAGGCGATTGCACATCTTTCTACCAATGTGCGAATGGACATTCCCATCTTGTCAAGTGCCCTTCTGGATTACATTTCTGCCTTGAATCTCAAACCTGTGAACATCCATGTGAAGCTAAGTGTGATACCACAATAGGTAAAATAGCTGTTCCACTAGGAATTTGTAAATAAGAAGTTCTTTTTTTTTTCTTTAAGCAATTTGAATATATTTGTCTTTTAGATTGCACGTCTCCGACTACATCCACGTCCTCTACAACTATCTCTCCCAACTGTCCTCATGCGAATGGGTTTTTCCCAGTAAAAGGCAACTGTGAATCGTTTTATCAGTGCTCCAATGGCCAATCCTACCTCCTTAAATGCCCAAATGGTTTACATTTTAGTTTTAAACATCAACTGTGTGAACGTCCTTGCCTAGCAGAATGTGATAAATCAATAGGTATAAATAACACTGTCTTTTCATATTAAAACTCATTTTTTTATCATCTTCAAAAAAAAAAAAAAAGAAAATTTTATGTCTACTGTAGTGAAACGATTACATATTTTATCTTTTCTGCTAGATTGTACATCTTCAACAACTGAAGAATCCATATATTCAACAACTGCATCACCACACTGCCCTCAACCAAATGGTCTATATCCTGTAGAAAAAGACTGTACATCATATTATCAATGTTCTAATGGGAAATCACATTTAATGAGATGTCCTATCGGGTTACATTTCAGTCCAGAATATCAAGCATGTGAACATCCCTGTTATGCTGGATGTAATAAAACAATAGGTACATCAAATTACTACGCATCTTTTAGAATTTAAAATATGTTGTGAACATTATGTTTCTAATTTTTCCATGAAAGTTGGCTGATATACTTTTATATCAAGAAATAGAAACTTTTTTATCTCTCTTGATTAATATAGAATTTTGCATTACTAAAATGGGTTACATAAGCACATATTAATGGTTGAATTTTTAAATATAGCATTTTTGTTGGAGTTGGAGAGTTTTAAGTCTTTAGAAAATTTTAGGTACTAAATACCACATTTATGAACTTGAAAGTGTTTTTATTATTAACACAAAAAAGATGTTTTTATTATCGTGACTATAATCTCGCAATTACTGCTAGCATTCTCAAATGTCAGATTTAGTATTTGTTAATATTAAATGCCGTACGTGCTATCTCACTATCTGTGCCGTGATAATAGAAAAATATTACTGTTGTACTAAACTTCGGTCCCCAATATCTTTTTATTAAACTTGTCTCTCATTATTTCCTTTAGATTTATGTTTCATATTTCATATTTTTGAAACTTTACTTGCTGCTCTGACAGCGAGTTTTCAAAAATAAAATCAAAGATTCTATTCGCATGAAAAATTTGATTTTAATGAATGTGTCAGCTGAGGAGCTTAAAATACTGATGCACATGTTTTGATATTTGGCATAAAATTGCATAATTTCATTTTTAAGTCGCTCGTTCAAAAATATTCATACTTTTCCATTCTAGCTTTACGTTCTTCTCGCGTTTCATTTTTTTACATTGCGCTTATTGCATAAAAAATATATGTTTAAAAAAAGAATTATTGATTTAAAAATATATTAAATACTTTAGTGTAAATTTTGACTTATATTTTTATATGATTTCTACCTTATTACATGATAAGCTTTATATCAATGAACAATTAATTAAGACCTTTTTTCTAATCTGTGGAATTTTAATTATGTCGATACCTAAACCAGCGCATATTCAGCTATCAACTCCCAGTCGACCATTTGATCATTAACCCCCTTTAAAATTATGTCGACCTTTGGGGGTCAGTACCGACCACGTTAGGAGTTCCTTTTGTATATGATTTCACGTTTGTTAACCGGACAATATGAGTGGCGATGAAATATATACTTTTCTTTGTCATTTATGTACTTAGTTTTATTGCTTTAGTTACGTAATGTTATTATTTCTGTATTTGTTGACTATCCGTTTCAGACTGTTCTTCTCCAACACCGGAAGAAGTTTCAAGCTCTACAACTGAGAAGATCAGCACCCTGTCACCTCATTGCCTGGAACCTAACGGCTTGTTTCCTGCAAATGACTGTTTTTCATTTTATTTGTGCTCTAATGGGAAAGAACATCGCATACAATGTCCACCAGGATTGCATTTTAGTGTTGCCCACGAAGCCTGCGAAGACCCGTGTGTAGCTCGCTGCGATCCAGATATAGGTAAGCTGACTTTTTGATATTTTTTCCTCAAAGATGTACACTGCGCAAAAAAAGGGGGGGACAGTTCTACATTCCTCTTTCTACTGGGTCGATTGACGAAAATCAACTTGAGGTTTTCATATGTCGAAAGCGCGACTTAGGATATATATTAGATTTACGAGGGTTGGAACTTTAATAGTGGCAACACAGCTGAAAAAACGCTACGCAACAAAACCGAAGAATATCGCGTATACCACACGTAAACTATATACCTACCTTACCTCTTAGCAAAAAGACTCGTCCTGCCTACGACGCGCATGCGGAGTGACGCGAAGAACGAATCCTTGTATTAGCTCGCGGTCTAAAGTATGTGTTGTCAGGATGTTTTCAAAACAAGAACAATGTTGTTGGATAAAAATTGAAAGTGCCAGAGGTCGTACAGCACGACAGTGTCATCAAGGGCTTCAAGAGGCTTGCGGAGAATCTGCATTGCCTTACAAAATCGTAGCAAGATGGGTGAAAGCATTCAATGAAGGACGCCAAAACGTGGCAGACATGCTGCGGCCAGGTCGTCCTAATGTCAGCGATGCAGACATGCAAGCTGTGCCGCTTTAATGGACAGTGATCGCCTCCAAACGATTCGTCAGCTGGCCGGACAAACAGGATTAGCGCATACGACTGTGCTGCACATTCTCGAACGAACGCCTGCCCATGAGAAAAATTGCTTCACGATGGGTTCCACATCAATTGACGGAAATGCAGAAATGGCTACGATACGATGCTGCCCGAATCCACCTGGAGCGCTATGAGCGCGAAGGAGATGCTTTTTTACGCCGTATTATTACGTTGGATGAGACTTGGGCCCGATCGTACCAGCCAGAACTGAAACGCTAATCAAACGAATGGCGTCATCACGGGTCACCACGACGTTCGAGATTTCGTCAGAACCCCAGCAATGTGAAAATTATGGTGATTCTCGTGTACGACTGTGATGGTGTCATCCTAACGCATACCGTTCCCCCACAGCAGACCGTCACTGCGCAGTATTACTGCTCATTTTTGGAGCACAATCTCCGACCAGCTTTGAGAAAAAACGGCGATACTTTCTGCAGAGCTCTCCTCTCATTTTGCATGACAATGCTCGGCCGCATGCAGCGCAAGCTGTGACTGATTTGTTCAAGTGATGGGGCTGGGAAGTGCTTTATCATCCACCATACTTCCCAGATCTATGCCCTTGTGACTATGACTTAATTCCTAAGATGAAGGAACCACTTCGTGGCACTCGCTTCCAAACTGTTCCTGAGATTCTTGCGGCAGTAGACCGGTCCATTCAAACTATCAACAAAACAGGCGCTGCTACAGGTATTCTGCGACTTCCACATCGTTGGAAACGGGTTGTACACAATGCTGGCGACTATATTGAAGGACTGTAAAACATGGTGACATGAATCACTTTTGTATTCTTTGTAAATAAATAGTTGCCACTATTAAAGTTCCAACCCTCGTATATACAGCACTATTCTAACATAGGTAATTTAACATAAAATCGGGCGTTTTCGGAAATAACATACCAGTTATTTTACATATTTAGATTCTACGACTCAAATTATGCCAGACTGCCAATTTTGTAAAAATTGCATGAATAGTGTTTAAAAAATTAGCTCTCAAAATTTTAGCTCCTCAATGTTAATTGAATTTGGTATATATTTATTAATACCTCTTTTTAATGAAATGTTTTTGATTCTTCCTTTCGCATTTCAAATTTTAAGTTCATTCCAAATAAAATGGAAACATTTTTTATGATTTATTTTTAAAATTTGTATGTTAAAATATTTTTTTTAATTTTTAAAAAAATATTTAAAATTATAACCTATAGCATTTTTACCAGGTATTTCTGGTAGAAGGTGTAGGTATTTCTACTTTCTGGTAGAAAGTAGGTGTATTTCTAAGCGTACCTGCAAAAAATTAGAGTTTTTTATTCGAAATATATCTAAGACGTACACGAATTTACATATTTTCGCGTTTTGAAATTTGGCATCTGCTTTTGAGCGATAATAACGCCATATGTGGTTTATGGATTTAGTTTCTGTGAATTGCCACAACTATATTTAACCTTAAATTTCAAATAAATTTTTGCGGAGAATAAATTATATGAATTTTTTCCCCTGAATGATGCGTTATAAATATTTGTTAATACTATATAAAAAGCTATTTAAAAAAAATACAGATGATATTATTCAAATTTTAAACTTTTTTTTGGGGGGGGGGATTTTTTTTTTTTTTCTTCTTCTTCTTTTTTTTTTTAAATATTTTTTGTAAGAGTAAATTTTTACTTTCGCCGGATTATCGTCTGCTACTTTACTTTAACTTCATTTAAATTAAATTGTCTAAAACTGATAAAATTCGTTTCATGTTTTTTTTCACAATGTTTTTAAGTAAACAGGACGTTGACAGTTTGGGTCATGTCCCAGCTTTAAAATATATATATATAAATATAAATTTTTACATTCCCTCGGTGGTACAGGATATGCGCTGCTGGAGGGGTTTATTTCTCTCCCATTTAACAAAAAAAATATTTTAATTCAAATATTTATCCTTTGGACTTTGCTTTAAACTTTATTTATAGTTAAAATGCCTAGAAAATGAAAAGCTATCTTCAGCTGAAACGCATTTGATGCAACGGATATTTTAATAAATGTGACAAGAATGCAGAATTTGTGGAAGTGAAATCTTAATTTTCTTGTGTTAGCACTGAAAAAACTGTAGAAGTAAAGAAGGAAATTAGGGGCAAAAAAGCAAAAATTTAAAGGGGAATCTACTTCAAGGAAGTTGGGTGTTCAAAGAGAAAACACTCGGACGTGCACACCAGCAAATAGCAGCAAATGAGTTAGTTTTAACAGAAAAGACAAAAATCATAGCAATGCAGATTAAATTGAAGAGCGACTGGTTTTCTACAATATGGTTGTATAAATTTAAATTACGTCATAGAACATCATATTGTATCATAAACGGAACATCCCATGATTTCTCAGTCGAATTTTTTGAAAATTCAGGAATTTATCCAGTGACGTTATAAGGTATTACTCCCGCCTACTTAGCGTGGCTTCGTGGCGTAGTGGACTGCACGCTCGGTGCGTTGAGAGGTCCGTGGTTCGATTCCCGGCGACGGCATTGTTCACTTTTCATTTCCCCTGCCTTCCAGAAAAAATATGTAAAAAACTTCGTATGTTATTCCAGGAAAAGGTCCGGTTTTGTGTCAAAATACCTATGTTAGAATAGTGCAATATATAAATCTAATACATACTCTAAGTCGCGCATTCGAGACATGAATAACGCAATTTTAATTTCGTTAGTCGGCCCAGTAGAACGCGAAATATAGAACTGCCCCCTTTTTTTTTTCGCAGTGTACATACTAATTCATTCGTATTATGTATGATATATCCGCGGAGCCGCTTTCAAAGTAATCACTTCAAAATTATTGGTAAAATTTTTGATTGGGATTCAATTTCAGTATCGGGAATAACTTCATTACTTTGATAAACTATATTAATCATTCGGAAAAGAATTTAAAAAATTCAATAGCATATTCAAATTCCTCAAATCTGCTGCATATTAAAGATAAATTACGCAACCTTCAACTCAAAATAAATTACGTAACCTTCACTTTCTACATCTAACAGAGATAAACTCTGAGGAAGTCTATAGAAATATTTATTAATTATTTCAGATAACTGAAAAAATCCACAGCTGCAATTACCGGCATTCAAACTCCGAACATCCTGAATACGTTTCGAGCGAGCTTCCCGTTACACCACGAAGACGTGCGGAAAGGAGGAAGAAAATACCTTATATACTTTCCCTTTTGAAGGGCGACTGAGAATTAGGGGATCCGGTCTCCACATTCTGGTGGCGACAAATTTTCTTCTACCACCTTTTAGTTCCGGCGCCACTTGCAGAGTCTTGGAGAATTTTTTCGAAGCAAGGAGAAATCTGCAATGCTTCTGCAGGGACCTCAATGTACGCGTCGAGCATGCTTCCAGTTACACCGTGAAGGCATGCGGAAGAAAAGGGAGAAAATATCTTATAACTTAAATTGTATTTTTGCATAATAATGCCAAAAATGACACATTACTCAACTTTTAAATGCAGGATTTCCTCGAATGCTGCAATCAAAATAGTTTGCAATGCACGAGTAGTACTAATTAAAAAGGATGTCACATGTCAATTCTCAGTACCAATACTAGCAGAAAAAATACTTTTTAATTAATAGTCTTGATTGAATATAAGCTTTCTTATTAAGAATTTTAAAGCTCTGTTAAAAGCTCTGTTATTTTAAAGCTCAGAATCATTGCGATATCTCAGAGAATTTAGTTACAATTTTAGTTTTAATGTGAATTTCATATTTGATTTGTATACTGCAATTTTATTAAAGTTTATGTCCTGTTATTTCCAGAATGCACTACATCTACAAAACCTACCACTCAAATGTATTCTACTCCTTCCACAACATACAAACCCGTATCTCCAGAGTGCATTGAACCTGAAGGATTATTTCCTAACCCCGAAGATTGCGGTTCTTTCTTCCAGTGTTCCAATGGCCGAGCCCATCTTGTGCGTTGCCCAACTGGATTACACTTCAGCAAAAATGATGAAATATGCGAGATACCCTGTGTTGCTGGATGTAACATAAGCATTTGTAAGTAACTTATTAATGACAGTACAATTATCAAAACCCTCAAAATCTGTTAATTTGATTGATAATTTATTTGAAGTTAACTATAATAAGAGTATTTCCTTCAATTATTTTTTACATTATTAATTGAGAAAGACAGCAAATTATTTAAAAGAGATTTATTTTAAAAGCGTAATCGGGAAATTGCAATTAAGCAAAATTCAGCAATAGACTAATAGAAAGTTTTTAGAAAAACTAAAAGACTTTTAATGTGATATCCTAAGGGTTAAGTTTGAACAAGAAGCAAAAGTATTCTGTTTGACCAGAAATTATACACGCAGAAAAAAAAGAGCTTTATAACTCATTTACTGAACTTAATCAGTTCACATAACGTTTTGTTATTAATGAATTACTGAGCGATTATCTTATGAAAATATTTTATCAGAAATCTTCAGCATAATGTTTCTCACTTTCAGCAGGTTAAAACGGGTAAAATGAAATAATGAAAACAGCATTTAAATGTAAGAACTAATTACTAACTAAGATGCTTATTTGCGCAGATGTAATTCAAATATCAGATATGTATTATCTTCAAAAATATTTTGATACACTGCAGAAAACGGCTTAAAGAATAACGTCATTTTTTTAATATAAGGGGCTTGTTCATATTTTACAATTTATTTCTACCACTGTAATTTTATATTTCATTCATTTGCAAAATATCTTATTTTTTTATTTTGCTTATTTGCGATATATCTGACACATACAAAAATGTATGTATGTAACAAATATTGTTTACACCTTATTATTTGTTCTCCATGATTGTCGATGAATAAGAAAAATAACAATCTAGACATGTGGTGCATTGCGTAAGTATTACGATAAAATAAAACAGAATATTAAAACGAGAAATAGAAGACTGAAAAATTTCCTTGTTACATTTTTTTTATACTGATAAGTTCCTTTCCCCAGAAAATGCTTAATAATGTCATTCACTTTTTAATTCTCATGATAGTTTTCAATATAACCGAGCTAGAATAAGCAAGGTGATTGTAACTAAAGTCCCGATTTCAGAATGTTGTAAAGTAAGAGTCACTGATTAGAATGACCTGAAATACTGAATATACGTGAAGCAATAGATCATTTTGCTCCAAAGAAGAAAAACTTTATAAATGCGTTGATAGATGTCACCGTACTTTTCAGTCGGGAATCTTGGTAACCATAGGAGACGAAAATCAGCTAAGAGAAGATGACAATTTCATTAGCAATTCATGATTTAAGAATTCGTGAAAATATCCCGAAACTAAAGTCATGAAATAAGCATCTATGTCTGATGCCAAAAATGTTCAGTATGCTGCTTACTGTATTCTGGTTCCGGTCGAAAACACAAAACAGCACTATCCACAACACATTGGAGTATATGAATAGTGATGTCGTGTATACGCTGAGTAATGTTTACCTTCAAATCAGCAAATTTCGTAGTTCAGCTACTATTCACAACTTTTTTAAGTACTCCCAAAGCCAGAAATAGTAAATGTTACGGTCACTTACTATTTCTGAATGTGGTTGTCAGGCTACTGGAAAATGACAACAGATAATCCTGTCATTTTCGAAATGCATCCTTTGTATTGGTATTCCTCAACAATCGCTTTACTGGTGCTGAAATTCGTACTTTTATTTATTGTCAACACCCATAAGCCTTGTCTAACTCAAACTAATCATATGGCCATGCATTGTCCTTCTTTCATCCAAACAAGAATTCGTAGAACAAAAGCTCTTGCCCTACGATTTCTTGTTTGGATGAAAGAAGTCACTAGAACACAGCTTCTGAATATGTGCAACTTGATGTGGATAGCATTGCAAGATATTTAATAAATTTTTACGAACCGTGCCGATAGGCAAGTCTAATGGTCAGACAATACTCCATAACACTAGCGCTTCTATCACTAATTTTCTTCCTGCAGTGGTATAGCCACAGATGTCGAAGGATTTGCTTTCTTCTTTCTACAATATTTCAGTTCTAACCAACGATTATATTTTTATTTTTTTTAAATCCGAGAAATAACTTACATAGAACGTTTGCAAATATTTGACCAGGTTTTAAAGTCTCTGATGTCCGAAACTTGCTAAAAGCAATTAACGCATAGTCATAATTTTGAAAAAGAAGCTTGATCTGCAGATTTGGATCCGTCAGTGATTGAGTCATGATGACATTATTCTGCGTCATGAGTCAGACACAAAATTATGGGATTTCAACAAGTGGTAATTAATTTTACCCGAGACCTAGCTGTTAATTTTTTTCCCTCTTCACCAAGCAAATTTACCGTATTTGACGAGTACAGTTTTCTCTACCGCTGCATTAAGGAAGTACTTTTTTTTGTTTTTCCAAACGCAATTTAATTTCTTTACCCATATTTAGATCAAGTTTCAGCTTATTCCGACCCTCAGTTCTTAATTTACAGCATTTTGATATCGTAATTTTAATCGTAATCACCCTGTATATTATTTAAAAAATAATCGAGTTTTCAATTTTTATCATATTTTGGTGTTCTAATGTCTAAATGCAGAATGGTATAAGCATGCTGCTAGCCCTTCACTTATTACGGCGTTATGCTATTATTTCGCAATTTTTCTACTTTTATTTACTCAAAATGGAATTTCTCATTTTTGGCAACAGCGTGTCCAACTGAAATACCAGATATCGAAGGAAACTGCACCTGCGAATCTTGCTTCTTACCAGACCCAACGGACTGCTCTGCATATTACTTCTGCAGCGACAGACATCTTACAAAAGGCTACTGTCCATACGGTATGCTATTTGACAAAATATCCACTCAGTGCGAAAATGAGGATGAAGTAGATTGTGAAGCTACTGGAGACCCCGCAATGTGCCCGGAACCTTTTGGCATCTTTCCTTATCCTGGAGACTGTAAAAAATTTCTGTACTGCGAAAATTCTGTAGCCCATGTAAGGAAATGTGATCCCGAATTAGAGTTCGATCCTGAAAACAAAGTGTGTTCCACTCCAAAAGGATACTGCGGTATGTCTTTTATTTTAACATGTGCTAGTGTTATTTTTAATCTGTCATTTTAGTAACATCATGCCTATTCAGAGTGCAGTTATATACGTATGTCTTACTTTAGTTTTGAACTCAGAATGTTCTAATCGCTGTAGCAATATAATGCTCGAGCTTGTCTCTCCGTAACATTTACTCAGAGGGAACAGTAGTTAGTAATCCTGACTGCTGTACCAAAGGGGCGACACTCAAATCACGGAGAAGGCACGGACATATAATCCTATTGTATCTGTGCGGCAAAAGATCATTCAAAATGCCGGCAAGCAGAAATTCTCTTGAGATGTTGGTGATAGGGAAAGACACCTGGAGGATCGGACCACTCCCCGGGTTATTCTCCCTCGGAATACCGTCCGGGGTAGAAGCTTGGTAGTGAGCGAGGCCTGGCGATGCCTAATATGCCTAGATGGATGCAGAGCGGCTGGTCTTCCTTTAGCCTGTACTTGCCTCTTAATTAACAAACGCTGTCTTTTAAACCATTGCACCTGAATCTACGCTTCACTAATTATATAGTTATGAGTATATGTACTTATTTTATGCTTGTTACTTACAACAGAATTTTCTTGATGATAAAAGTGAAGCACAAAGAACTGTAACTTAGTATTGATCAAGAAATGTAACTCGATATTTAAAAGCAATGAAAATGTTATCTTTCTAATTATTTGTATTTCGTTTACTTCCATATGCGATCCATTGCTTCATTTTTCCTAAATTATATAAATAGGTTATCAAGATGATAGGGAAAACCGATATCTCTGTGTGAATAAATATTATGATTTCAGAGCTTACGCATTATTCACATTTACATTGCAACTTAAATTCGATACGGAGGAAATGGTGTATCACCAGGGCGCCTGGGTTAGACAAGAACCCTACCCCTTGTAGAACATTAAGCTATTGCGAATAATGTCAAAGATAACTTAAACATAAACATAATAGTACATATTTACGTGAAATGATTATAATTAATTTTTTAAATAATTTTAAAGTAGTTCTTACACTAAAAGAAATTAGACATTAATCATAAGAAAATGGAGTGTACCAAAAATCAAAAATTCAGAGAAATACCAAAAAATAGCAATCTGGGAATAGCTGAGAAAGGAAAAGAGCTGGTGATAAACCTGTAAAGACACTTGGCATCTGAACACGACAAACAGACATATAGCAAGCGTGAAACTTACGGTGCTTTGAGAGGAATAAATATATACAGCATACAATAACAGGGCACATATTCATAGACAGAGAATATAAGAAAATATGATCAATATAATAACATTACTACATGAGACCATCGGTCTATAACTATTATACACATATTGATATAAACAAAATTAGGAAGTGTAAACAAAATCACAAACAGAGAGAAAAAAAAGGAGAAATACGATCAATGTAATATAATTACTGAGCTTGGCCAACTGCCAATTATTACTATATATATATATATATGAAGTGAACAAAATGTCAGGGCATGTAATAAAAGTGATTTTCCGATGTTTTTTCGGAACTAAATACATTTTTGAATATATTAAACAATATGAGCATCTTGTCGATGGCATACTCAGCAACTTGTAGCTCTGGCATCCTATCAGTGATTTGTTTGATAAATTTTGTAAACGAGAAACCCTTAAAAATGTCAACAGCAAGTTCTTTTAAGGAACTTAAAAATGTCTATGAATGCATTAAAACTTGCATTTTTTGTTCTGTCCTTAGTACTTTTCATATTATTAGCATGTCTGTTTTCATCAATCTTAACATTAGCGACAACAGTTTTACTTTTGGCAGCGTTAGCGTAGCTAACACCTGGAATTACAGGTTTATTAAGAGTGTTGTTTACATTAGAATTGGCAGAAACAGTACCATTTTTAACATCGTCAGAATTCAATTTTTGTGACTTAGGAAACCGAGGACACCCATAAAAATTCGCCGTGTATTACAACTTAAATTATGCTTAAGTATGCATTATTATTATTTTGCAATCCATATTTGCATTTCACATGGTAATGGAATTTTTCTCACATTTTAATTACAAAGCTAAATTTTTGTAATCTTCCAAGGATTTTATTTGTAATTTCAGTTTAGAAACATTTGTTAATTTGTAATCATTATCGTATCACATATTCTGTAGACCTTTTTTGGTATTTGTTAAAAGATTTTATTCATTTGCTTTATGATATTTTGTGTTTAATCTTTCTGTCTTTTAAAAATAATTAAATTCATAAGCATCTTCATGAAGTTTTCGTCAGCTTTGCTATTTTCAGTACATGCTGAAGTGCACTAATTTACTTCTCTTACATTTTAATTTCATAATTGTGTTAAATATACATGCAAGAGGGTTTTACGTTGTCAAAGATTTAGATTGCTTAAAAATTAAGTATATCGAGATGGATTATGCAAACACGATCACCCTCGATCTTTTGCATCAAAGAAGAAATGACGAAGTTCTGACAAATTTCTACAGTGGTTAACTTTTCAAAGACATCGAGATATCGATATACGTTCGTCTTCATATTTACTAAAAACAGAAATTTAGCAGAGGCATCTTGTAGGGTTTTTCTTAATTTGCATAACACATTTATTTTAAGTTTTCCTGTTCTCAACTTCTCAAACTTCCCCTCACATTCTCTGGCTAGGATGTAAATTTAAAGTTAAATGAAATGCTATTTAAACGGGTGATTATCTCAGTTTATTCAGAGCGTGATTCGCTAGCCTAGCGCACGTTTCTTTGTTATTTCGCGGTCACGCTAATAAGCCTCTTGGCCATTTCAGTTTCGTATCACGCCGGTTAGATTTCTGTGAGTCCATCTCGTAGGAGTAATTTTGAAGTGCGTTCTTGCACTTGTTTATTTTTTTAGATTTTTTTTTATTTGTATTGTAGTTTACGTTTAGTTACCGCCGCAAGTGAACGGTTTTTTGTAACGCCGAAGTCCGTGCTGTCTGTTAATTTAGTTTGAGTTAATAAAGGGTTATTTTGCACCTTCCTTCTGTGATGCTATTTAATTCACGCCTGTGCGAGAATTCGCCAGGTTCAATGTAGGATCTAAGTTAGTGTATGTGGACAAGTAGAGATAGGTCTTACAATCTAAAACACTTCAAACAATCGTTTTTACTTTCAATCGCTATGAATCAGCCGCATACAGTGGGAAAGGATTTGAGATTAAGGATCATTTGATCATTGAAACTCAGATGGTAAGAGGACTTTAATGACCAAAATAAAATTTCATATATGAGGGCGCTATTCACATTAATCTCGGTAATTAATGTTACTCATCTGTTCCATGAATGGTAACAGCAACCTAATTAAACACACATGGTGTACACACATGCATTTCGTAAATATATTTTTACAAATCTCTTTTCAAAAATAATTCCGCTACAATCAGATTAAAAGATCCCTTTAAATACTTCACAAAATGTTCTGTCGCAGACTGTATTGCAGTTTTCTATTTTTTTCTTTATATTACTCCCTCCGTATCGAAATGATTGTGCTATTTGTATTAATTATTTGTATCGAAATGATTGCTCCATTTTAATAAATAATGTTTTTTCCTGCTCTGTCACTAATTTGAAGCCGTAAATATAATTTAATAAGTACATACAATTATATCAGTACAATAACTATTTATTTAATCGTTATATTTTATTTATTACATGTTATTTAATAGTTTAAATCAGTTATTGTTTCATAGGCCGCATTAATGGATTCTTCGGCACAAGTAATGAATTTCGGAAGCGTGTTCCGAAGCATTGCCTTAATGAATTCCAAAGAACCGTCCTTTTTCAAGTGTGGCAGAGTATGATTATTTCACCCACCAATCTGCTTCGAAGTCAAAAAATGATAGTTTAATTTTTCGATTTTTAATGTGTTCAATAACATATAAATAATTTGAGTAAGTTGGTCTATGTTGGTAGGAGCAATCTGATGTTGTAATGCTTGTATGACATTAAAGAATTCTAAATCCAAGTCAGAGCTCTTGGTAGGTTGGTATATTTTGGAAACAGTTTTGGCCGACACATCATGACTTTTACCGATAGTGCTATAACGCCATGCTTAGGTCTTTTACTTTTAACGTTTCTCAGTAGCTCTTGTGGAATCACATTTCTTTCTTCAAACCACAAACTTCATTTCTTTTCCACAGCTTTATAACATAGAATGAAAACAGATCTACATATATTGCCAAAATTCTATTTTACGAAAGTAGAAGGTAATGTATTCGAAGCCACTCTTCCCGTTCGTTTCTATTTCCTTAATCCGATATAAATTTATAAATCTGACAATCATTTCTACGCGAAAGGAATATTATATTACAAATTGAATTACATTATAAGTGTTATTTATATATTAAGCCCAAAGTATCATTTTGAATTTTATGTTGACTTAGTTACTATTATTTTTATCTCAGGTTCTGTAACCATTGATCCTCACTGTAAGCGACCAACTGGTCTGTTTCCCTATGCTGGGAACTGTAGTTTATTTTACCAGTGTGAAAATGGTGTAAGCTATTTGAAAGCATGCAACTCACCTCTCTTATTTAATCCTCAAAAGGAAGTCTGTGATTGGCCTGAAAATGTTGAATGCGGAAAAGGTATAAAAATAGTTTCTCGATTTAAATAGTTTGATTTAAATGTTTTATGTCAAATTACTACAGAATAAATTTAGAGTTTTTATCCAGTACATTAACTTATTCGTATTCGGATCAAGAGTGCTGTATGGATATTTCTCGTAATTTAAACATTTATGGCTTCAAAGTAGTTCTCTTTACTTTGCAGTCAAGTCTACAACTTTGCCAACAAGTTCTACTGGCTCCGAACAGACAAATGCGTCAACATCAACGCTGGAACCCATTTCCACCAGTCTGCCATTAAGTTGTCATACAGTCCCTGGCATTATTTGTCCTTGTGCCTGTAGAGTGCCCACTTATGATGATTGCAGCTCATTTTATCAGTGTCAAGATGATGGGACGGCATGCAAGAAATATTGTCCTGATGGTTTGTATTTCAATAAACGAGAAATGGTTTGCGATCTGCCGAACAATGTCGAATGTAGAGGTAAGACGAATATTAAACTAAACTATTGTATTTTTACTAATTCAGAAGACAAACAACAAAAATCAGCGTTATATTTACAAAATTTCCACAGGACTGGTTTCGATGGTTTTACCGAACCACCATCCTCAGCTGGAAAACCGCAAATGAAATGATTGCGGTTTTCCAGCTGAGGATGGTGGTTCGGTAACCCATCGAAACCAGTCCTGTGGAAATTTTGTAAATATAACGTTGATTTTTGTTGTTTGTCTTCTGAATTAGTATTTATTCGGCGTTATTGTGTCCTAATTATTGTATTTTTATTTGTAAATTATTAAATTAAACAATATGAAGAATGTTTGTTAACGAAGATTAAGTTTCGTAAAAAATGAATATATTTAGGAAAAAAATAAAATGCATTTAAGAATTAAGCAAAATCAATCTTTAAAGAAGAATTTTTTTACAAAATCTTTGATGTAATGCATGTTCCGTCATCAGCAATTACTGAAGAGATAAAACAGCTCATAAAATTATTTTATTCTTGATATTATTTAAGTGGAACAAAAATATTCCAGTGTAAATTTTAAAAGTATACCTAAAATAAAAAAATTTAAGTTAGCGAATATTTTGAATAAAATTTGCTCGATTTCAAAGAAGTGTCAGATCACCTTTGAAATCGACAGAATTTTACACAAAATTTGCTTTGGTTTCCTCTTGAGCTTTTTCCTAACTCTTAATATCAGTCTCAGAAAATTAAAATGGGGTAGCATAGGTATTTTGTAATTTTCTTTATATGTATGAAGATCGAATTAAAGATGATTCTAAATAGATTTCTAGAAAGCAGGTGTATAATATTTACATACAGAACATTCTAAAAAGGGGCTACAGATTTATTTCTTTAAATATCGATTCTAAACCATGGGTAAAATGTTCAACTATTCGATACTATTTCAGTAACGGTAAAAGAAGGGTTTTGTAAACGTAGAATTAAAGCTTTTATATAACCCCGTTTAGTGCTTAATACACTCGATGAAACAGCTCACTTCGCAAAGTAAAACTAGTAAAATGTTAAATGAAACCTTCAGATTTTATGAGGAAAGTTTACCGATACATTACAAAATGAGTTTAATAGCGTACATTAACCAGAGCTTACAGCTAAGGAAAACCGATCAACTTTTGATGAGATTTAGAGAGAAATAACAAAACTAATGTTTCTCATTTTTATGATTAACTATTCTGTGTAGGTTAAAGAGCACTCCTTATTAACTTTATAGCATGAAACTTAATAGTTAATAAGTTAATAATTAATAGTTTCATGTTATAAAGTTAAAATTATTAACTTTATAACATGAAACTATTAATTTCTAATATCTTTCAAAATTTTGTAGACAGAGATATGAATTTTTTTAATTTAATTCATAAATTTGCAATTCACATTTTAATAATAGTATAGTTGTCTTGATACAGGTTATGAAGAAGGAAATTAAACTTCACATTTAGAAAGCCCTCTTATCTTTGGTACTCAAAGTGCTATTAAAGAAGCTTTCATCTTATTTTGAAAACTTGAGCCTCTATCTTATTTGGACTTGACCTTACTTGCAACTGGGCGAACACGTTTAGAATCAGTACTTAAAGAAATAAAACCTAGAGTCACATTTTTTTAACACCCTGCATGTTATCGGGTTATTCAAACTATTCCCCAATACTAAAAGTTAGTATCTGTTCATTCATTTAATTTTATAATGTAATAATTATTTACAATTTTATTACATTAACTTGACTTGAAAATCTATCAATTTTTTACGTTGTTCAGCAAACGGAAAGTCTTGAGTTTTACAAGTAAAATATTTCTCGTTAGAAATCTTAAGAAATGCTTTCTTGGCACAATTTGTTACATTTAAATATAGATTTTTAAGTATTCTACGATATAGAAGTAAGGTTTAATAACAGAAAGGAGTTTAGATGCTCTTGATTAAAATGTTTTGCAGTCAGCAACATTTTACTTCAGTTATCAGCCTTTTGCTAACTGCTAACTGAAGGAATTAGGTTTCTTACATCAAAATCAAGCAAGATAATCGGGCATTTTCAGTTACTGTACACGTTTTAGAGTACTCTTAGTTCAGTATGGAAAGGTCTATATTAAAATATATAAATATTAATTTGCATGCAGTAATTACATACACTATAAGAAAGCCTAAGCGAATGTATATTATTCACTAGGCAATAGCTCTCGTTAAGTATTGAAGTGTTTGATGGAAATGGCAGAAAATACGTATGGAAAAGCAGTATCCCATTTAATAAAATAATTTGAATTTATTTGAAATTACTCTGCTGGAAAATGAAATCCCGCACCAAGAAAGAGTTCTGCTATATAAGCGAAATTTGAGAGCCGTGTTTGTGCATCTGAAAGGTAAATCCTATTCGGATTTCGCGCTGGAAGAATAAATGTGGGTCTAGTAGTGTTACTATGAAAATGCAAATTATGTCTACTTTAAATATGTGACGTCAACTTCGTGTACTTTGTTTGTCTTCCGAATTGGGCACTGTGAGAAAGATCTGAGTCAAGAAATTTTTAAAGTGATTAAGACAGTATCAGCGGCTTACTGAGTTTGAACAAGGCCATGTAAATGGCTACGAAAAGGCAGATTTTTCTTTTCGCGACATTGCAGAAAGACTTATCTGGGTTCTATCCGCTGTGCATGCGTCCTGGCAGCAGAGGATACAGAAAGATACTGTTTCGAAAAAATCAGACACCTGTGCCACCAGTCAGAGGTGGTCACACCTATGCCACCAGTCAGAGGAAAGCACCTGCAGCAGATATTCAAGCTTTTGCTGGCACTACAGGAAAACAGCGATCTGTAACAAATCATTTACCTGAGAACAACTCAGAGCCAGACGCTCTGTAGCGGCTCGAAATCACTGTGACCTGTGACTTCGATGGTACCAAGCTAGAGCTGATTGGAGACCGAAGTGGAGATTTGTTGCGTTCTTAGAGTACATCCGTGTCTGTCTTGATCCCAGTGGTAACCATATGTTAGTTAGAAGAGTCTCTTCGCCGAAGAGATTGGAATCAAGCTGTCTGAGGAGTAAACACGTTGGACCACTCCAGGAATTATGGTCTGGGGAGCATTTTCCTATGAAAGCGGGAGGACGCTTGTAGTTATACCTTACACCTTAACAGTAGCAAATCTGTATATCAGACAAGTGACTGCATCAGTTGTGCTGCCATTCTTGAGAAATGTTCCAGAAGGCATTTCCCAACGAGATAACTCTTGTCTCCGTACCGCTGCTATCATTGCATGTACTCTACAGAGTGTTAACATGTTGTCTTGGTCGCCAGATTACCCGAAATTTCTCCCATTTAGCAACTATAGAATATGATTTGATGAAACTCCAATGGCATCTACAACCACCACAGACCTCTGCTGATTTCACTGATCAGTCGCAACTGACATGGACACAAAATGACATACGACACCCTATGTCACAAAATGACATAGGACACCTGTACCACACAATTCATACGCATTCGTATAATTGCATTCAACATCGGGGTGACTACAGCAGTTATTAAATGTATTTGAAATGGCTGTTCTCGAGCATATTTTAACCTGTAACCTTGAAACATTAACAAATAAATATGCTACCTAGACAAATGCCTTGCCTACATTTCATTCGTCTAAAGATATTCTTTCTTGGTGCTGGGATTTTATGGACCATCAGTGTTCAGTGTACTTATTTGCAGAAAACAACAAGTATCATGTAAAAATTTTGGATACATCTCATTTTCTCACTAATCCAATATATGGAAAAAGTAATAACATAATAATTTTTTATTGTTCTTCATTTAAAGAACAGTAACTGATACAAATACGAAAATAATTGCTACAAATATTTCCTACCGTACTTTTGTCGACAGGTGAAGTAAAGTCCTAAATGATGTTAAATTCCTAATGAAACTAATAGCACCTAAGCTATACTTTCATGTTCAAAATGTTCGATGAAAATGCTTCTAGGGCAGTTCTCATTTAAATGCAACAAATAATTACCTAGAAGCGTTCGAAACAGTATTAATAGGTGCAAACACATTTATTTCGGCTCCCGAAAAGTTCCTAAAAGCACTGAAAAAATAAATCTTTTGGTATATGACACTGGCCTTCACGTAGTTTTCGGTTGCTTTAATTTTCGAAAATGCTGACCCCGCAAAGCCACCTTTATAAGATAGAATAGCGAAGCCAAGGGAGAAGAATGTGCAAAATAAGGTTGTTGACACATGGGCAATAATCTGTTTCTGATCAAAGAAAACTATGCTTCTTTTCTAAATAGCCTTTTGCTCAAAATGTGATACCACGTGATAATTACATACTTCGAATGCAAAAATTAACTAGTGTCTCGGATATCATTTCATACGTTTCTTCTATGTTAACGCCCTCTAACAATCAAATTAACTTTCGCAGTTTCCAGGCACATGACGCGTTTTTAACGCCAATTTATCGGTGTAAAATTTTAAGAAAATCAGTTAAAACTGTTAAATTAAACTATCATCTTCTGTTGAAATGCCTTCGTTTATTAATCTACTATTTGAGTATAATTATTTTCGTTTTTTTTTTTTTTTTTTTTTTTTTTTCAGATTTTTTCTTTACTGCTATGACAATGCTTAAATCATCCAGTAGGCATCAGGAATTTATAACTGAATGAACTGTTTTCCTGTTTTGTACGGATAGTAATTTTGAATGTATAATATCTCATTTCTTACGTTTTAGTGTTTTCTATCTGAAATGACCATCTGTTTGGTAATAACTCTGCATTCAAACTGTAAAATTGCTTGTATTCTGATAAACTTAGAGAAATAAAATTATCATTTTTTAAGCTATGTATCAAGGTACAATTTTTTAACATGTTATACTGTCAAGTATGGCAGCAGATGTGGTATTATTAAAATAATACCACATCTGTAAATAATTAATCAGGAATTCAGAATTTTCTACTTGTAAATCGGACATTTTTAATCAGAATTTAATTGATTAACTTTGTTTTTGAGCATAAATGGCTGCAAAATACAATTAGATGCTGTAAAGAATAAAGCTTTTAAAATTAATTGCAAGTAATTTTGTCGATTACAAAATAGTTAAAAATTTCGTTTTTTTATCTTTTCTTGCGCTCCGTACGTAAATGAAAAAATATATTCATTATAAATATATAAGTCATTAATTAGACATTTGTTTTTAAACCAAAATGTTTCAGAAGAAAATTATTAACCATCTACTTGTGATAAATCTTTATGGGGGGGGGAACATAAATAAATTTATAATGAACCTTATATGAAAATTTAATGAAATGCAAAACTTTTCCAATGCTAGTTTAAATCCGTTTAAATATTTAATTATTATTAATTAATTTTTCTATAAAAATCCCTTCATAATAAATTATAAAATAAAATAAATATCCAAAAGATGCTTTGGCTCTTTAATGGCTAAAATGTACTAACATATTAACATGTGAAAGAATTTATATACATTCTTTTGCATTAAAATGTATCCTGAATGCATGGAGATGGTTCATTTGTCAAAATTTATTATAAATTGACAGTATTTAAATTTAAATCAATAATAATTTTGATGCCAATGTTAAGTAGATTTAACATTGGCATCGAAAGCGCAGTTTGTAGCTGTTTCCTTTGTAACATTTTCATAAAATCTTCTTTTCTTTCTTTAAGAAAAATTCATATTAATAAATATTAATTAATTAGCCATTCAGTAGAATTACTAGATGAGTTTTTACTCAGAACGGTTTGGATCCAAACATTAAATAACATTCACAGAAAAGCAGATTGAAATAAATAGCTTAAAATTGATGAATTAAAGGGACTTGCTTCAATTATTTTTTATATCAAATGAGACAAAAATAAGTATACAGAACGATTAGTCCAAATTACATGCTATTTCTTTATTTCTCTTCCAAGGGATCTGAACTTGCAAATTATCAGTGCAATATTCTAACACACCAGTACAAATTCGTATTTACAGTAACGTCCGTTATGCTTAAGTATCATGTTTTTTCAGTACACATCACTGCGTGTGCGCAGGATTACAGTTCTTTTTTTAGTTTCTTTTTAAACAACCTGTTGATATAAACGCATACCAATAATTAAAAATTTTAAGAAAAATTACTTTTATATAGTGTGCTGATTTAGTGTACAATTTTTGCTAAATAGCTGTTTCGATATCTTTTCATCACTTATGAAAATTTAATGTACTATGTATTTTAAATTTAATTTACTACTGTCATCATCCCATTGTCTATTATTAATTATCTAAATTATTGCCTTCTTTTTCCTTTAATAAAAGCCAAAATATATTTTCATAAACGGAAAAAACTATGAATATATGTAAGATAAGGTTAGGTTTAATAACGAGGAAGGTAGTGGTATTTTATAGTCCTTAATAAGAAAATAATAAACATGAGGATGATATGTACATAATGAAAGGAAGTAAGGTAAAAAAAAAAAGATGAAAAGTTCAGTTTGTCATAAAAACAGAATCACATCATCAAGGAAATGGCTGTAGTCCTTTTGTTTAATCACATCGATTCGTCTCGGAGATCGGAGATCATCATTCGTTAAGTGGTGTTCGACCCGAAGGCCTTTAACACTATAAGGACCTGTAAAAGTTCTTAAAATTCCATAAAAATGGAAAAGTCCTGTGCACTTGTAATAAAAGTGCAAAGTCTTCAGTAGTGAAGAAGTTGATCAGGGGTTACACCATATATCGGCCACAGATGAAGTCTTCGTTCGATAAGCAATAATAACTAATTTTGGCATATCTTTTCGCAATGGCATATCTTTTACACATTATCGTAGATTTGACACAGTATTGTGTAGTAAAAATGGAAAATAATATATACAAGTCCCAGAAATTTTTCTGCTTTCGTCTGAGGGGAAAGTACCTATATCTTAATATCCCTAGGGAAGTAGACTGTCACGTGATATACGAATTTAATGATGATAAAGTCATCGTGGCGTCCTAACCTCATCTGCTTCTCAATTTGCTCACTCAGCTTGAAGAAGTATCTCGCCGCTGATGTGGTTGCCAGATGTAGGAAAAGGGGCGGATGACCATATATATGTAAATATGAATACATGGTTATGCTTTATATGTAGCTGGCGAATCATTTAGACGCTTAAATAAATCTATAGTTATTGTATAAAACTAGGACTAAATTAAAGCATCTTCGTATACATTATATGTTCTGTTCATAAATTATGTACTTCAATTAAAATACAAAGCCTCATAATCAACTTAGAAAACTTCATAAATGTTTGAATATTCTGCTTGATAATCACTATAATGAATGTTCTTCTTGACGTTTGCACAGACTTCATCAGTGCTGGATTTATCTCATTCAGGTAGACTAAAAAATCCTATTCAATGTCAAGTCTGTTCCTATACTTTTTCAAGCAAAACATATTTTAAAGCAAACATAAGGCCAATGTGGGTAAATTGGTAACAATTTAACCACTTTGTTCTATAGTTGAAAGTCATTATTTTAGACATCAGGTCTAGCGACCAGAGCTAAATTATATGCAATTTCATATTACGCTACTTTATTTCTCCAATTTACCATCACTTGGAACACAAATACCAAGTAAAATAAGAAGAGAAAATATCAAGAATAGTTGATTACAATTATAAGTACTGGTATTAAGCCATCATGTTTTTCATATTTTTTTGCAAACAATTACAAGGATAAGATTAAAATTGTGTTTAAATTAATAAAAATAAAAAAATTTGACGTCGGCACCGCATGACTTCCTTGTACGGCCTATTAAATTATAAAAATTTATTGCTCCTCTTTTTTTAATATTTTCCTAACATTCTAACTTAATTAACAGATTAAGGGGTGGCTATATATATATATATATATATATGTGTGTGTGTGTGTGTGTTTGGTTCTGCCGATTGCAGTAAAAGGAGAGGTGCACAACTAGATGTTATAACGGTCCCATATACAAAATTTCAACGTTTTATGGCTAATCGTTTTTTGTGAGATAGCTATACAGATACGCGTGCGTAGGGACGTCAGAAAAAATTCATTTTGAATCCAACTTAAATACGTGTTACAATTGATTTTTGAAAAAGCAAACCTTAATTCTTTCCGTACGTACATATGTCAAGCAAAAAAATTGTCGAAATGGATTCGAGAACGGTCAAAATGGATACTTCTCTTGAAATACAATACCGGGCATTTTTCGCGATTGCTATACTTCCTTTACTTCGAACAAGGAACTAGTAAGCTAAATGACTTAAGAATCACAAAACAGTGGAATATCATTTTGAAAGAAATCTCAGCTATTTGGCTTTTAGTGCGGTAATAATTGAAATATAGATCAGCTTCTCCATGTACGTTGCACATGGTAAAACAAAAATACTAATTATAATGAAATAATATTCAATAAAAATATTTTTAAAAAGGATATTCACATTTTTAAAACACTATTTTCACAAAACCGCAATGATCACAGTAATTGCAATTGGATAAAACCTATCCACAATTTCACTTACGGGTGAATTCCAAGCAAGTTATTGCCTGGGTTATTGAAAACATTTCTTGTTTTTACCCAGATGTGAACGTAGTTATAAACCAGTTTCTATTCCCATCAACCAAAAAAATAAAATAAAATAAACCGCGTTCCGGGATAAGTAATCCTGTTGTCCGTGACTCGAATTAATTATCCGCGTATGTGCGCTAAGAGTACAGAGGTGTAAAACAACACGTTACAGTTCAAGTATTAGCGCAGAGATCAGAAATTTACTTTTCCGAATTACGGCATTTAGAATGATTCAGTTTTATTAAGTAGATGAATAGTGTGTGAAGAAATACATATACTTCTCGATTAAAACTGTCTGAAATTAAATGATGAAAGTTGAGAAGGTTTGATTCAATGGAAATATGCCTTTTCTGCCCTCGAGGGACCCATATCTCCAATCCACGTCAAGCTTAATTATTTGGCTTTCGTCTTGTTTAACAGTCGGGAGTAACACCTGAGATCTGAAGCATTCATCAGGACTTTCCACATGCAGTATACCTCGAAATGGCCTGCTTTTCTATTCACGTTTAGGAAGAGTTCAAGAAAGGGGTGAATTAGGTGCGTTGTGATTAAAACGCTAATCTCGGGGCAAAATAAAGTGAGGCGAATGAAGGTATTAATAATAACTCCATAATAAAGTTTTCTAGAAATTATCAAATGAGTCTCTAAAAGCATTTTTACTTGTTTCACTTGTTGAGACTTTAAATAAACCCGAACAAACAGTGCTATGCGATTAAAACTACGACTAAGGCTACACAAGCAGTAATCACTGGTGATACGGGATATTTCAATGCTTGAAATTAGTTTCAGCAACTTAAAAAAATATGAGAAAAAAGTCTTAGTATGAATAAAGTAAAACAGAAAGGGACATGGCAAAATATATTCATTTTATATTCTACTACTCTAGAGTATGAGGTAGAATACAGAAAAGAATATGAATTTTCAAAACAAAATTTTTACTTTTTATCACTCAAATTAGTCATTAAAGAACAAGGTAACCATTAGTATTGGAATTTCCTTTCTTTTATATAAAAGTTTCCCCAATTTTAACACTGGTTAGTTTGAAACTTCATACCCGTTACGAGTCAACTATCCCTACCTCTTTTTAGATGAAAGCATCGGCCAAAACAAGGATTATGTTTCATTATTCAGTTTTTCTTGGCCTTTGGTATAAAGATGGGATTTCAAATCAGTCATTATTATCATTTTATCAACGGGTGTTCATTTTTGCGCAAAGAAGAGAATATTTGTATCTTAAAAACGAAAACAATAATTAAAAATAATAGCCACCATAATTGAAATGTACATAAACATAATCTATCAGTAAATGCTGACACTTGGAAGCGAAAGAGATCACAGACGTTGACGGTTGGGTAGTTGGAATATTTTTCCTTTTTTATATGTATCATTCAAACACAAAATTTCATAACTGGTGCTTCTTTAAATTGCTTTGTGCTAGTGATACTTCATGTTCCTCTGGACGCAATATAGAGAGAAAATGCAAATTGACTTGCACAAAATAATTGCAGTTCTTAGAATCTTCTAAAATAGCAAGCTCATTTTATTATAAGCTTCACTGAAAGAACAATCTCTAACTTTCTAGAACAGAATCTGTAACTAATCTAAACTAATCTGTACTAGAATCTGGAACTCAATATTTTCGGTCCTTTCACGTTTAAGTTCATTCCCATCCCCTGCTTTTCAAAGCTTGAAAAAGACTTATGCATTTATTTAGATTAATTTTTTATGTGTTTTATTAATTAAACAACAAAAAGTATAAAAAATATTGAGAAACCCCAAAATTCGATAAAAGTATTTTTTAAGCTAAAATCTGAACAAGTAAATAAAAATTTCATCGGATTCCTCTAATATTATGAAATCCACCCCAGATAAAATTCCCCTTTGGTTGAGGACCCTTGTTCTAGAATATACCTTAACATATACACATGGAAGGGGATTTAAAATGAATTCCCTATTGCAAATACAAATTAATATTCATAAAATAGTTAAGCAAAAACTCATTTATTTACAACATATGAAATAAAACAGATATTACAGGTATGATGAGGCCTATTGTAAACCAGTTACAAACTAGGCACAGTTAAATATTGTATTTCCAAACAATAGCACTCTTGAGCCATTATATGAAGAGTGAAATACAACTGTAGAATTAAAGAAATGACACAGTAACTACACACCCATTTCATATTCCTTTTATATACAAGCTCAGTTTCATAGATATTTCACCAAATACTATTTTCAGAGAACACGTTTTTACTTGTAGAGGTTGGAAAATTAAAGCTTAAGGTAACCTCTGAAGAGCTATGAAATACGAGTTTATATATTAATTATATAACATTATTATAACAGATCAAATGGTACAGTCTTCGATGAAAATGTCTTAGGTACTTAATGTAGTGGGCTATACAAGATCAACGCTTGTTGTAATAACATTGTAGGGGCAGTTTCAATCCAACGACTCGCGCAAAATGTTTCTAACTGATGAGAGTATGCTAAAATCTATTTTCATTACAGCGACGACTCATTATAAAGTTCTTTCTTGACCCAAAAGGGCGTTAGCTGGAATGGAGTATTAGTCTCGAAACGGGATTTTGCGAGGTCCGCTACAAACGATGAATCACTTTTCAAATTATTGGCACCAAATATTATCGTTCTGTATTATTTTTAAAGAAATTAAATAATGAAAAACTGCATGTATGTATGTATGTATGTATGTATGTTGGCCACAATGTAAAAAAACAACGGTACTTAGAGCCATTCAGTTTTGAATAACGTAGTCCTCCACGAGAACATGTGCACTTGGAAGACAAAATTTTGAATTTCAAATTTTATATTTCATTTTTGCAAAATTTTAATGACTTTTTGATTAACAAACTCAACGATTTTAAAGGGAGCAGTGGCAACGTTGTACGGAATAAAACACTTATGTCCAACGCGCGATACTGCATATACTAAACTCTACATGTATGCAGTTTTTAAATATTTTGTGATTTTGCCATTAAATTGAATTTTATATGGCATACGTTCTAATAAGATTATATTTTATTAATAAATTTAACACACGAAACGTCAATTATAAACAAAAAAATGTTTTGCAATATTGATTTAAACTCAGAAAAGACACACACACACAAAAAAAAGAAGAAAATGTGTATATTAAAATATTATGCCACCTCTGAATACTGCATAGGGAATTCTAAACACATGCTGCTTTTAATTTTTTTTCTAATTAAGCTGATGAACTGCGTATGGCGTAAGTGCAAAGAAAATAATGCTTTATAATAAAACTAAAAAGACAAAAAGAAATGGGTTAGCAGGAGGGAGTTCAAGAGCAGATTAGTAGACTGCGAGCTCAGCAAGAGAGTATAAAAACTTAGCAAGCATTTTTGGAGGAGGGTTAAAATCTCAACCCTTTCAATTTTTTTCAAGAGAGCGAAGAATCGTTATAATGAGCCTTAGCTGTATTATATACTTAATGAAATAGCGAAATATTAATATACTCTCAAAGAAAACCTTTCATTCTTTTTTCCCAAATAACTGAAATATAGAAAGGTACTGTTTCAATCATTAGTATCTACTTTCTTGATCTGTATTGCGTATATTCCAGTATCTTCCGGCAAATTAGATATCTTGTACTGGCTGATGTAATCTGAACTCAACGATTCAGTATTTGGACTCGAATCTGTATTCACGTTTTTCTCTGATTTCTTGGACGATAAAAGAAGCTTTTCCAGCGCCATAAATGGAGACTCAAACAATAGGCTGAACACATAAGCAACTATAAACGAAGCAACTACATATCCCATATACATGAAGACCTATATAAAGAAAGAAAGGAACTATTACATTATGTACTTTATTATTATCATTAGGTTTAAAACAGGAAAAATATAAAAGAATTAAAATAAGAATTGTGATAAAACAAAGTCTTTTAAACAACAAGAAATTTCTTGAAAAGCCTCGAACGAATTTGGCGTCTTGAAAAAATAAATGTATTGCCATTTAGAAGAATTATTTCTTACACTTTCTGCTAAAATAAATGCCCACCCTTAGAAAATTCTCCGCAACCTCCCTTACGCAGTTAGCCCTCGAGTGCTTTGCCATAATTAAAAAAACGGAACCTAAATGCAGAGCTTCATTTTAAATAAAATATTTTCCTTTTTAAATAAATTTACGAGTCTTCACGCAATGGTAATTTGCGTTGAAATAACATCAGCGCAAATGTTTTTCTATCATTTGGTTTTACTTTAAACAGCTCATATGAAATATAAAATGCTATGTTATATACTTTTTATTTCTAAAGCTTAATTCATGATCTGGTAGACCTATCGTATTTCCTTGGCTTAAAATTGTTTCGCTTGTTAACCTGCAACCTGCGTCAGCAGGGAAAGACTGCAATTTCTTTCTAATCCTAGGATTATTTGTCAGTTATGAAACTTTCTTTCTTTAACCTTTTGAGGCCCACCAGCGGCCGAGCGGTAAAGTCGCTGAACACTGGTAGTTCGGTCCGAGGTTCGAATCCCGCGAACGGGCTGGCTGCATGGGCGTTTTCGTGGTTTTCCCCATGTGTAACGTGTATACGAGGAAGTTTCCCTTAGAAAGTCATCCACGAAGGCATCCCTCCTCTTAGGCAGATAGCCCTCGAGGCTTTGCCATATTCACATACGCACACACTTTAACCTTTTGAAATTTTAAAGTCAAATTATTAGATTTTAGACTACAATCGGAAGTTTCCAAAACGCACTTCTTAAACGACCATAAAATTTCAAAGAATTCTTTCCATTTTCAGAATCTATATCAAATAATCAAAAACAGCAAATATAAAAAGAATTATCAGACAATTCTTCTTTGGACCTTGATTATCTACAAATGCTAGCATGTAGATAATCGAGATCCAAATTAACTAACTGAAATTATAAAAAAAAAAATAATAATAATAATAAAGAAAAAATAGAAAATTGTTTTTGTTGCAGATTCTAATGTCACATAATACATTAAATGTAGAGTACTCAATTTTATTTTAATAATGTACATAGATTTCATTTGAGTCAACCATTTCTTAACTTAATTCTTTTCAGCCTTAAAAAGGGTATTGCAAGGCCTTGCAACGACTGTATGCATAAAGTAATAATAATATCTGTTTTTCCAGGATAACATAGTTACAGTAAAATGTTTCCAGGATACCTCAAAGTCTTGTAGAATTTTCTTTCTAGGTATTTAAAAAATATGGACATATATTTCAGGACAGAGAGAGAGAGTAAATGTCAGTTCTGGCTTCTAGATTTTAAAGATGTTTAATTATAACAATTTATTTAAAATTAATTGAACACCTTTTCTTAAATTAGTAGTGTTACGAATTATTGTATTATTACATGTAAATTTAGTAGAATTATAATTAAAATTATTTTATTTCCCCATGCAATGCAGCGCGAGACGAATTTTAAGAGCTATGCCGGAAAAGTAAAAATACAGGAGCACGTGCATTTACCATTGAATAAATGGATATCTCGGTAATTTATATTTAAATTGAATAAGTTAATTGACTACTATGTTAGATGTAACCGTAATTCCCCATTCTTTTGCTTTCCAGAAATCTCGAGAAGCAGAAATTACTAGAATGATCTCGAGTGACCGATTGAAAGCTATAAAAAGCATGATAGAGAATATCTCAGCTCAGTTGTTTAGTTAGCTGCTGTTGTTATTGTTGTGAATTCACGGTGAGATCAAATTATCTTTCTCTTTAAATGCGCTGTGAGTTGCGTTCTATTTAACTTATTTGCGTTCTACTTACTGCATGATATTGTATAGTATTTGGTACCAATGATATTGTATAGTATTTGGTTATATAGCGTTTTATTATATTTCTTTTCATAAGAATAAATTTTATTAACTTTTTATCGGACTTTTGCATTCAATTTATTGCGACCCGTACGCATGAAACAGTATTTTGTACTTAAGCTTTCTTTTTAAAATGTCTCATTAGGACGATTCCCGAAAAATTTTTAAAAAGCAGTGTTAGTTTCAAAAATATAACTAGAAAACGCAGAGATATATTTACCAAAGTTCTGTGCTCAATCGTAATCACAGTCTTTGTGCTGCCAACAAAAGCAAACTGAATAACTGGGTGAACCAAATATGCCATGTATGTCAAACGACTCAATGGAACAAAAGCTGGCCAGCTCAGAATCTTTGTTGCAATTCCTATTTTGGAAAGAAATTAATTGAATTTTTATACTGTAAATAACATTTATTTTATTTCAAAGATTTATCTTATATAAAAGCTGTTTAAACCGGAATGAATATCTTGTTTAAACTTTGTACTTGATAAATGCTATTGTACTTCATGATAAGTTTGTTACACGAAAATTTCTATCCGTCTATCTTAACATTTCTATAATCAATAATAAATCCATCTCCTTACAGAAATTACTGAACGTGAACCTGAAGTATGGGCTTAATTAATAAATATTAAAAATATAAATGCATGTTGTAACTGGTTCACTGGTTAGAGTTTAAAACATTTTCAGAAGACCGTACAGACTAGAAGATTTCTAAATATATATTAAAATTTATTTTTAAATATATATAATTCACAATTCGTTCTTTTAAAAGCCTCCAATAAAATGATACTTTTTGAAATTTCTTCCACAATGATAAATCTTTTTTAAGCTTTTTGAATGTTGATTAATGAACGATTACATTTCTTGATAATTCTTGAATAATAAGAAATGCCCAGCTCTCATCTTTTACAATAGCCAGACATTTATTTAGATAATCTGTTTAAGTCTAAGAAGAATCTAATCGTGAAAATAATCGAAATTTTTATCGAAAAGTTACCGAAATTTTCAATTTTAATTAAGCGTGACCGATTGTATTGCAAACTGATTTGTATTGCATTTCTTGCCTAACATTTTCTTACTGATTTAAAAAGAATGGAAAAGATTGGATAATTAAAATGCATTTAATAAGTACATTAAAATAATGTTCAAATAAACACTGACAGCTTCGTTTCTGTACAAATAGATCATTTAGCATCTAATTAACTGTTTTATTTGTAACTTATTAGAGAGATAAAATAAAATTTTGAAAAACTATAAATATTGAAGAAATAAAAAAATCTTTATTATATCTAAGTTTCCAAAGAAAAAACTAGTACATAGTTATCTGGAAGCATTTTATTACGATTACAACCACTTCAGATATTGAAAAAATATAGTTCAGCTATTTAAAAATATAGCAAGTGGCATAAAAACGTTGAAACAATTAAAAATGTACTTCATGAATTAATTTGAAAAAAATTTAATTAATTATTCTTTATTAAACACTGTAACAAACTTGTCATTCTTCTTTTTCTTGCTTATATTTGTATGTACGAATGCCATAATTTATTTATTTTGCTTACCTCCATGACCATATGTGCAGGATACAGTTACCCAGCCTATTGCTAAAGCCCACACTAACTTGTGTGTACATGTATAAAGAGTTGATATGGCCAGCCCCGGAATTTTTCCTTGATTCCAGTCATATACTCCGTATACCACACTCAGGCTCAGCCCAAAAGATGCCAACCATCCCAGCAGATTGATTCCCTACAGAAAAAACTTCCAAGTTAATGATATTTTCAGTAATATCAGATAAAAATCATAAACCACAAGTCTTAAGAGGAAAGCCTTTTTTCAGAATGTAACTGATAATCGATTAAATGCTAAACTGGAAAATAAATGAATAAGCTAAAAAAATCATTAATGCGCTGAAAGCTGTATGCGGTTTACTAATCGTAATTTTAAAAAAAATCAGTCTTTCCAGGATCAGACAGAACTCGATATGCCAAAGTATATAAAAAAGGATTAAAAAAATGTATAAAAATTCTGAACGTTTTCAGATTTTAAAGGTCTCCCAAAAGGGTTTGTTACGGTTTTTCAAGCTTTCGCTGACTACGCAGTCTATAAGTCTGCTGTTAACTCTCTCCTACTAACCCATTTTATTTGTCTATTTAGCTTTATTATTAAGAATCATTTTCTTCTCACTTACTCTATATGCAATTCTACAGCAAAATTACACAATTTTAAAAGCAGTATACGTTTAGAATTCACGATGCAGTGTTAAGTGTTGGCATACATTTTTCTGCTTTTTATATTCTTTTTTAGTTTCTCATATCAATGTTCAGTTTTCTCGTTAAGATGGCTTTACAAAACGTTTCTGCTGCCTTTTTATTATTAACGTTTTATTTATTAAATATCACATTCTCGGCGCTTACGCCACACTAAATTCGTTCCAACAGCAAAATCACAAAATATTTAAAAACAGCATATCTTTAGAATTTCTGCTAGACTGTCTTGCGCCCTGGAAGTAAAAATATTTTATTTCATACAATGTTGTCACTGCTGCCTTTAAAATCGTTGAATTTTGAAATCGAAAATTCATTAAACTTTAACAAAATATAGAATAGATAACAAAACAAATTCGAAACAGAAAATTCGGGCTTTCAGGTGCCCATGTTCGGGCGGAGAACTGTATTCAATATTCGATGGCTCCAGGTACCGTTATTTTCTCACAATGCAAGAAGCATGTACACATTCATGCAAATTCCTCATTATTTAAGTTCTTTAATACAGTGCGATATTATTTGGTGGCAACAATTTGAAAGGTGATACGCTGTTTTTATTGATTCAATGCAAAATGCCGTTTCGAGACTAATATTCCATTCGGGTTTGGTTTGGTTTATTTAATGATAGAAAAGCACTCGAGGGCTATCTGCCTAAAGGAAGAGATGCCTTCCTGCAGAATTTCTTAGGAAAACTGGTTCGTATGTACGTGACACATGAGGAAAACACTGAAAACGCCCATGCAGCCAATCCGTTCTCTGGGATTCGAATTCCGGAGCGAGCTACCAGTGCTCAGCGACTTACCGCTCGGCCGGTGGTAAGGCATCCCACTCGGGACTAACGTGCCTTTTGGGCTAATAAAACATAATTCAAGAAAAGTAAAACAAGGTGTTAAATATATCATACCACTTCTTTTGGAGACTGATGCTACCAATTCAGAAACAAGCGAACTTGCATGAAAAAAAACCTTATAAAGAGATATTATGAGATACATAAAGTTTTGCATTATTTTTATTCAATTACTATTTTCTTCTTTTCTTATACTTTAGCGTACAGTAGTTCTCCAACTTACGTAAATTTACAGTTATGTAAGTTAGTAAAAGTCATAAACTATAACCTACAAATTTGATTCCGGCGACAAGCTGTCCACTTGTCCAGGTTTAAATGTACAAACACCCTGAAGCCCACAGTCTAGAAAGCAGATATCAGGGCACTGCCCGCCATGGCTCTCCGAGGGCCATTTGGTATTAGTTTTAATGCTAATACGAAAGAATTCACTTATAAATATATTTAAGCGAATTAGATAATAACAGGAGTAAAATACAATGAATATAGCTAATTGAATCGTTGAAAGAAAGACAAATTTAAAAAAAAAAATTTCTATAACTTTACCATAGGAATTTTTAATTTCTGTCTGGTAGCTAGAATATATCCAACAGTGAGACCAACGCAATAAGTTGATACGTGAACATAGGTTCGGAAATAACTTCGATCAAGGAAATGATTTATGTCGCTAAAATAAAATAATACGAACATACATGTCATTTCAATATACAAATTAACCACATACATAAATTGAAAACAGTATAAAATTTTAATACTTTTTTACATGGTTAGTAAAACAATAAATAGTAAAACAAGTCGTCAAACCTTTATGGATAAATTTGTTAACGTCTTAAATTAAGTCTTGTCTTTTAAACTATCAAGACTAACAGAAATTTTACAAATTTGAGAATGAGCTTATCGTCTTAGTTAAACTGCTCAGGAAACACATTTACCTCCTTTTAATAAAAGTCGGTGTTTTATTACGAAAGCAGCATTTTAAAATGTAAAGTAAATTCTTGAAAGTGTTCAAAGAGAAGATAAATAAATGCAGTCTCAAATAACCACCAAGTTAACATAAATTTCAAAAAAATTCTCCTTTAAATCTTCTATTGTGGAATCATTTATATTTCCAGTTCTTATCTTAACTAATATTTAGCGCTCGATCTTAGTCAAAAGTATAGAGATGGATTTGACTTTAGTTCCAGTACCAAGAACATTTATAACATAAACTTGTACTCAGTTAGACAAATTAAATGATATGCATATGTTTTTGTTAATTTCACTAATGCAAAACTATCGTTGAAATGCCTGATATTAATCTCTGTTTGACACTTGCTGCTGCACACTAAGCGAAAGGTTAAAAATTTGTGTCCTGTACATGGAGGCAGAAATCTCATACAAAATGAAATTATGTATCACCTCCTCCAGTTAGGGAATCTTACATAATTTAGGGTATACGGCTCTTTAGATTCCCTCAGTAGATCATACAAATACTAAATTTTCTAAAATTTCGAATCCTAAAATGTTCTTGAATCTTTCGATTCCTTCACATAAAAATAATAATAAGAGGGAAAAAAGTAGAAAAATATTTTATTAATATTTAAAGTTCTTAATTAAATCAAAATGTAGAATCTACATTTCATAAAAACAAGAACACAGTCTTTAAAATCCTTCTATATTTATAAAAATGATATAAAGGAAATTTAGTAAATACAACATATATTTAAAATTCTTAAACCTTAAGGTTCATAATCGCACTATACTTTAATAAAATATATTTGCATAAGAGTACTAATATTTAATGTTTTCCAAAACCTTTCTGAATCAAATCAAAGTAGAGGACAAAGAATTAATTTAAAGCTTAACACAGATAAACACTAAACATGGAATACGAAATTTCCTCCAGAGAATGAAAAGTAAAGCACTTGGACTGCCACAAGGGGATATTGGTGATATAGATTATCCGAAAATGAAACATCGCGTTCTTTTTTACTTCCTTGTACGAAGTTAAAAGGAAGTATTGTAATCGCGAAAAGTTTCAGGCAACATATTTCAACGAAAATATCCATTTTGACAGCTATCAAATGCAATTTAACGATGTTTTCGCGTGACATCTGTACCTAAGGACAGAATAAAAGACTTTTTTCCTCAAAAAAAAGTTTAAAACTACTTTAAAATGAATTCTAAAGAGAATTTTTGGTGTCTGTACGTACGTATGTGTCTCGTATAACTCAAAAACGAGTAGCCTCAGAATGTTGAAATTTTGTATATAGGATTGCTATAACATGTAGATGTGAACCCCGTATTGTAGTTAGAATCGGACGTACCAAACGTATATAAATATAATTATACATATATCCACTCTGTTACTCGGCTCAGTGATCTCCGTTTCTTTACTCTTATATGTTTGTAAATTGTACATTTTTTGCTTTAAAAATGATTGAATTATGTTGTTTTTATCTTCCGGTTAAGGTTTTTATGCCTTTAGTAAATCTGTATGCAATATTTTTAGAATTATCAACAATTTTAAAGTTGTTTAAGTGCCGCTAAGCCTAATAATTTTTCTGATGGCGGCCATTGCTTGTTTACATTTGAAACAGCAGAACAGTAGATTTGTTGCCAATCTAAAGAGACTAAGCTTCGCGACTACAATAATAACGCCTTCATTTATTATTGCGAATTAAATCATGCTTAATCTTTTCTGGAAGTTTTTCGAGGAAATAAGTGTTTAAGATTTACTTCGTAATTTTTAATATACATATTTTGAGTTTTTATGTATTTTTGCCTTGTTGCGAAGTGAGAACGGAATTAATTGAATAAAAAATACTGAATCGTCTGTGAAAAACTGTTCCTTCTTTGTTTAATTTGCTTAATTTCTTTTATACATCATTCTAGATTTATTATCGTATTTGAATGAATATGTGGCAACGATTAGATAATTCTTCAAATGATATAAATTTTGTGCATTCTGAGTTATACTTTGAGCACAGCATGTGCACAAGTACTTCCATATTATTGGATACAACTTACTCGATTCTTCAAGCATTTAAAAGTCACGTATAATATATTGGTAAAGGCCGTTAATGGTCGATTGCCTCTTACTAAGTGATAAGACATAGACATAGTTATAATATGAACGAAATATAAGTCTTTTAAGTGACCTAGCGTCAGAGTGTCGCTATGGTAAAATATTTAGTGAATTTTAAAGAGTGCATTTATTCTATTGTGGTTTATGCGCTATCGACGAAGTAGATTTAATTCAATCCAATAAGTTTAAATGAAATGCAAGAAAAATGCGTATAATTTAATACTCCGTACAAGAAAGTCATCTGGTGTACACATCAGATGTTTTAATTAAGGATATCAGTAAAACTACCTTATGTAAAGTGTTAAATTAAATTTTTCTTTATTTTTTAAATTAAGATTTGAAAGCTTCGAATGATTAAAGAATTTCAAAGAATTTTTTTCTCGGATCTCGAATCTTTTACACACTTAAAGGATTTAAGAAATTAAATGTACCATTCCTAATTTCATCTATAGCGCAATATGCATGCATAACATAATGAAATCATGCGAATCAAATCTTACTCCTTCAGTGCTAACACTACTGTCATCTTCCGATTAGTATGTACTTTCTTCTTAAAATATCCTTTCCTACGAACGAATAATAATGTAACCTTATGCTAGATTTTAATCTTTAATTTTTATTCATTCATGTACGATGAAATTTTTGCTTTCTTCTATTTTCTTCTTAAACATTTTATATTTCGCTCATTTGATATTAAAGAAATAATTTATTATGCGTGGTATTGTTATTGTAATTATTACAATAATAATAAAATTATTATAATAATAATGTAATTATTATAATAATGTAATTATTAGTGTAATAATATAATATAATTTTAATTGTTATAATAATAGTAATTATTACAATAATCATTACAATAATAATTGTAATTATTTTATAATAATAGTAATTATTACAATAATGGAAGATCAGAGAGGAACATAAATAATGATACGATAGTGCATTTGCTTTTTCTGGTGTTATAAAGCATGCTTCTAATGCGTTACGTTTAATCAGTGATGAAACCAATCGGTCAGGAAAATAAGCTAAAAATGCTGGTGATAATAAAGACTACACCAATTAACAGACGTTATAAACCAGAAGAAGCTATAATTCAATAGTTATCAATGAGAAATATGGAAAGTAGTCTTCGAACTTATAACATGATATACCCAGAATCTGCAATTTCATGATACTTAAGAATGTTTCGAATTTTCTCCGAAAACAAAACTCTTCACTTTAAAAGAAGGTATCACTAGACGCCGTTAGAATGCACGAGTCGATAGAACAGACACTAGAGTTCCTGTGACAACCGAATTTGTCACAAGCCGAGGTGTGTTTCTCTAAAATAGGTATGCCCGGTTAATCTTCGGATTATGGTAACTTGGCGATTTTTTGGCGAATATTTGGCAATCAACCCTTCTACAGCAAACTGCTAGTTTTTTTTTTTTTTTTTTTTTTTTTTGACGCCATTCGCTATTTTGTTTTCACGAAGTAAAAGCATGTTTTTTTTTTTATTTTTTATTTTTAACAATTTTTTCCGACAATCTGCTAGCCGAATTATGCTTATGCTAGAACTTTTATGGAACAAAAGTGCTTAATCATGACGAAGATTAGGTGCGAAATTGGGAGAAATTGCAGAATCGCCCACTGCTTGCCGCGTTTTTAAGAATTACACATACACGGTATCATCCATGTACACGTCGACATGTTTTCACTTAAAAAAAACATCTTAGAATTGCACAAAAATGGCATTGCGCACACTTTTGACTTTATCCATGTACACTACTTAAGTCCTAGCTAGTAACCTTTATCGCCTTACCAAAATGTCGCCAAACTACCTGTTACCATATTCCAAAGATTAGCCGTATGCGCATATTTTGCAAAACCTAAAGCCTCTTTTGTTAAGCCGCTCGAACCCCTAGCAAGAGGATGCAACATTTGTGGAAATTATAACGATATTACAAAGTAGAGGTTTGAAGTCAGTTTAAAGATATACTATATTACTACTGACACATGCAAGTTACGCAAGATTATTAACATTATTATTATTTTTTACTAATCAGGGTCTGTGTCGCAAAAAAATCTGATTTACGAACATTCCCGGAATGTAGCTCACTCGTGACGCAAAAACTCCATGTTGTGACATCAATTTCTAACAACTTAATTGCATTAAAATTACATCTTTATTTTTTAAGATTTTAGTTTATTCAGTCTTTAATGAAATCAGATTTATCAAGAAATATTTAAATTTTCTTCCATCAGTAGCATGACATCTTCCAGAAAAAATATATTTATAACTAACTTAAGTTAATTCATAAGCGATTCTGAAACCTTCGCACAGCAGAAGGTCAAAGGAGAAAATAAATTGAATGTGTTGCGTCGTGGAATTTTCCAACGCGAAATTCGGCAATAGAAGGTCAGACAAGGAGTTTCATCTGTTATTGCAAAGAAGATTCTAAATAGGAATGATAATAGTCGAAACTGAAAGAATAAATTATTTTCAATGTACCACAAATAATATAAAATAAAACTTACTCTGGGTTGTTGAACACGTAAATAGGAAGTGGATGAAGCTCGTAATAAATATGTAACGAAGCAGATATTATAATTGCGGCTACAAAAAGCAAACCATTCATCATAAAAGCCAGTCGAGGATTCCTGAAAAAGAGTTAGAAATAAAATTAATATACTTTGACTACATAAAATTTGAAATCTGAACAAGTTAGAGATTTTATGAAACACGCAAAATATATTGTTAAGATCTATTGCAGGCATGTCAAACTTAGTATCGCGAGGGCCGGATTAAGACTTGATAAGTCCCTAAGCTATTTGATATATGGGTCCCTTTATAAGTCTGTTATACTATATTTTAATACTACATTTATAGTATACTTTAATTTTTTGCGGGGCCCCAAGAAAGTGGGGGACCCCAAGCTATAGTTTGTGTAGCTTATACGTAAATCCTGCACTTGGTATCTCAAGTATGTGTTCCACCGGGCTCTGCACGTATATTTAGTAAAATTTTCTATTTATTAGAAAAAGTAAGAGAAAGATGATGTGATATGAAATTTATAACAAAAACTGACCAAAATGTGTGATAATAAATTCGAAGGTCATATTTAGGTAACCTAAACAAATTGGAAATCAAAATTTTTGTATTTGTACTGTAACGTATTTGCGTTGCTACGCCACCAATATAATTCCACTAAGAAATGTAAAAGAAACCGCGCGCAAAGAATATCCGCAGACGATACACGCGCTTAAAATGTTTTTTCAGTTATCCTGTAAAGTTTTGACAAATAAAGTTGGTTGTTCGTTCGAAAAAATGGCGAGATTTCTTTAAAACTTCATTACAGAACGTAATTAAAATAAAATATTTAGCTTAGGAAATGGTTTCTTATGTTAATATATTAGGGAACGAGCAATTATATGCAGATTATTATGACAAATAGTGTCTATGTGAGTATCGTTTGCTTCATTTTATTGTTGCAAACAGCGTAAATTCCTTTTGCTTTTCTTCCTTTAGTTTTGAACTTTATGTGTGACAACAAGATATTTGATTGATAGAATTGTGTTTGTGACATCCGTGTAGAATGGCTCGCTTATTTTGTATCAATTATTTTGCATCGCTGACAAGTGTAATTTAATAAAAGTGTAGGAATACAGTCCATTTGTTGATTGATTATAGTTTGTGAAACATATTAAGTTTAATAGAAAACATATTGTTGGTCCTTCGAGCCGGATAGCTAATGAAGATAGTGACTGTTCTAAGTGTATTCTAACAACGCAAATATGTATATGGTTTGTGAAAATTATCCACTTTGTGAGGTAAGTGGATTTTGAACAAAAATTCGTTTAATTTGTTGTTAAATTTTAAGAACAATGTTGTAATACAACATAGAATTCGATTTCATTTTAATAATAGTGTTAAGTGATTTAAGAACAATTTCTGTTTTTGAATTGATCAATTATGAGTGAACTTATAACTTTTAAAACAAAAAGAGCGGTCTTACGCAGGAGTGTTACTAATTATGTAAAGAAAATTGAAACTATTTTAACTGCAGATGAAATTAATTTAATAGAACTAGAGGAATGTGTCGAATTATTGAAACAAAAAGAAACTGAGTTAAGGAAGCTTGATTCTGAAATCGAAAGTTTAATTACAGATACTAAAGAATTAGAAAACGAAATAGATAATGTTCAGGAGTACACAGATAAAATTTATTTGTGGAAATTTAAAGGTGAAAAAATATTAAAAAATCAAAATAATAAAAATAATTCTAATAGTGTAATTTCAGAACAGGTTCTTGACAATATTAAATTACCCAAGTTAACACATTACCGACTTTTGGTGGTAATATTACAGAATGGATAGCTTTTAAAGATCTTTTCAGTGCTTGTGTAAGAAATAATACAAATTTATCTAATGCTCAAAAATTGCAGTATTTGAAGGCTTCGTTGAAAGGTGAAGCATATCGCATTATTCAAACCATTCAAATTTCGGATTGTAATTTTGAAATAGCATGGAATCTGTTAGACGAAAGATATTCAAATAAGAGAGAACAAATTTTTGCATATATTAAACGTTTTTTAAGTTTACCAACTATTCAAAATGAATCAGCATTTGCTATTTTAAATTTAGTTGACAATATTAATGAAATAATTCGTTCTTTAGAAGTATTGAATCAAACCATTGATAATTTTGGTGACACTTTAATGATTTATTTAATTTTGCAAAAATTAGACCCTGCTACAAAATTATGGTGGGAACGTCAGTTAAAATGTAATGAAATTCCAAAACTTACGACTTTAATTGAGTTCCTAAAAACCTATGCAAGAACACTTCAAAATATCAAATCAACAAGTAATAAGGTACCTAAATCTGTGTTTCAAAATAAGAATAATGTTCTGGTTGCTACATTGGGTTGTGGTTATTGTAAAGAAGATCATAGTTTAGCCAAATGTTCGAAATTTCTAAATTTATCGGTTCAGCAAAGGATAGATTTTGCAAAATCTAATCGTTACTGTTTTAATTGTTTATCTAATATGCACTTGCTCAAAAAATGCAAGAGTTTAAATACATGTCAACATTGCTTTAAGAAGCATCACAGTATTTTGCACATTGTAAATAATTCAAAGAATAAAACTCAGTTAAACAGTATATCTCCGCCTACGCAATCTATCATTAAAAGAGATGAATTAACGAGTCCTAAGGACGTTTCAGCCACAGTTTGTGCCTCTCATTATGATTCGAATGCAAAAGGTAATCAAACCAGTCACATTTTATTGTGTACTGCTTTAATAAAAGTTCAAAATTCTAAGCAACAATTTGTGAAGTGTAGATGTTTATGTGACACTGGATCTCAGAGATCATTTATTTCAAGGGATTGTGTGAAGAAATTAGGATTACGAGTGAAAGAAAGATAATTCCATTTCTGTATCATGTCTAGGAGAATTTAATACTATAAGTAATGGGGAAGTCGATTTAGTATTCACTTCTCATTTTAAAAGTGATATTCGTGTATCAACATCAGCGTTTTGTACTGGACAAGGTGACAGATAACATTCCCTATGTATCTTTGCCATCAATCATCTTCGATAACTTCAGTGATTTACAATTAGCTGATCCATTATTTTACAAGTCACAACCAGTTGACATTTTATTTGGAGTAAATGTATTTCTGCATTTAATGACGGGAGAAATTGTCAAACGTGGTCCTGATCTACCATTTGCTCTAAATTCGAGGTTGGGATGGATAATTTCGGGTACTACAAATTTTGAATCTACAAATTTTGAGCCAGTATATGTAAATCATTTGAATACAAACACAGATGAGTTAGTAAATTCTTTCTGGGAGTTAGAAAAGTTTCCAAATGTACAACCTTTAACAAATGAAGAAAAACTTTGTGAAGAACATTTTAAAAACTCGCATTTTAGAGACACATCAGGTCGTTATTCAGTTGCATTACCATTCAAACATAATAGAGATATTCTAGGTGACTCCCGTGAAGTGGCGTACAGAAGATTTCAATACTTGGAGAAGAGGCTGTTATCTATGAAAGAAATTTACAACCAGTATATTCAGTTTTATGAAAGAGTACTTTTCACTAGAACACGTAGAATTAGTGCCAGACACAGATTATGAATTAGAGAATAAACACTATTATATCCCACATCACTTTGTGTTGAAGGACTCTAGCTTAACAACAAAATTGAGAGTTGTTTTCGATGCGAGCGCTAAAACAACCACAGGTGTTTCTTTAAATGATACACTAATGATAGGCCCAAAAATACAAGATGACTTAATTTGTATTTTACTAAGATTTAGACTTCATAACATTGCAATAACCGCTGATATTAAAATGATGTACAGACAGATAAAGGTTCATGAAAAAGATAGAGATTTTCAGAGAATATTATGGAGAGATAGCCCATATAAACAAATACAAGTTTGTCGTTTGAAAACAGTTACATATGGAACTGCAGCTGCTCCATATCTTGCAACCAAAGTGTTGAGTCAGTTAGCGATTGATGAAGGATTGAACTTTCCAAAGGCAAAGAATATAGTTTTAAGAGATTTTTATGTTGATGATATGTTAACTGGTGTAAAAGATAGTTCGGAAGGTATTGCATTGATAGACGAATTGCAACATCTGCTAAAAAGTGGTGGCTTTGAGCTTCACAAATGGTCGACAAGTGAACCGTCATTGTTAAAAACCTCTGGCTTAACAAACACAGATAGTGACAATATTCATCGTGTAATAGAAGACAAACCATTGAAAGTTCTGGGATTGGAATGGCATCCGGACAATGATGAATTCAAATGTAATGTCGGTGTAATAGAGTATCAAAGTGTTCCGACTAAAAGAATTATTTTGTCATTCGTAGCAAAACTATTCGATCCATTGGGGTGGATAGAGCTCCGTTTGTAATTCTCGCTAAAATGATCCTTCAGCAATTGTGGAAATTACAGTTATCATCATGGATGATCCTGTAACAGAAGAGATTGATCGAAATTGGAGAAATCTATGTAGAGAAGTTAAACTTTTGAATTCTATAAATATACCTAGGAAAATTCTGCTACCTGATTATTTTCGATGTGAACTTCACGGATTTTGTGATGCGTCTGAAAGAGGTTATGCAGCAGTTATTTATATCAAAACTTGCAATAACTCTGACATTAATGTTAAACTCGTAACAGCTAAAACTCGTGTAGCACCATTAAAATCTATTACGATTCCAAGACTGGAATTATGTGCAGCAGTGTTATTGGCACGCTTGATTCAGTCTGTAAAAGCTGCATTAGTTATAAATTTTGATTTAGTGCAAGCTTGGAGTGATTCACAAATCGTGTTGTCATGGCTAAGGTCAGATCCTAAAAAATGGCAAGTATTCGTATCCAATAGAGTTTCTGAAATACAATCCATCTTACCACCTGAGAACTGGAGTCATGTTGATGGAAAGGAAAATCCAGCTGATTGTGCTTCACGTGGGTTATTTCCTGCAGAACTATTATCTCATCAATTGTGGTGGAATGGTCCTTCTTGGTTAAAGTGCAGTGAGATTGCCTTGTCTAAAAATATTCTTATAGATGAAGAGGCATTACCAGATGCACGTAAAACAGTCTCATTTGTAGTTTCTGAACCTGTACAG